CTTACTGGTTGGACAGGAATTTCAAAGGCAAACGAAATGTTGTAATCTACGACTTGGGTGGTAGTACTTTTGACGTTTCAGTTATGACGATCTCCGAAGGGCCGGTGTACGAAGTGATATCGACGGCTGGTAATACGCGTTTGGGGGGCGACGATTTTGACAACCGTCTGGCGGTGTATTTCGCTGAGGACTTCCGCAAGCGCTACGGAAAGGAGATATTGGGGAACTCTAAAGCGTTTCGCAGACTCAAAACCGCCGCCGAGAGAGTGAAACGGTTTCTATCTTCCGCAACCGAAGCTACTGTACATATCGAATCATTATACGACGACATTGATTATTACGGAAAAGTTACAAGATCATTGTTCGAAGACCTCTGCTCCGATTTATTTATAGATACTTTGAAACCATTGGAAAAAGCTTTGAGGGACGCCCGGATGAAGAAAGATAATATAAACGATGTCATCCTTATTGGCGGTAGCACAAGAATACCGAAAATACGAAGCGTGGTTCAAGAATTTTTCAAAGGACATCCCTTATCGTCAACTATTAACCCTGAGGAGACAGTAGCGTGCGGTGCTGCATTACAAGCGGCTATTTTATCCGGTGAGTGGCATGAGAAGACCCAGGAATTGCTGCTAGTCAAAGTGGTGCCATTGTCTTTAGGCGTAGAAACTGCTAGAGGAATTATGTATAAGATCATTGACCGGAACACTCCTATCCCTTGCCGAAAAACCAAAGATTTAACTACTTTAGAGGATTACCAAAGAAGCATGACAATAGAAGTTTTTGAAGGTGAACGATCGTTGACCAAAGACAACAATCTGTTAGGCGTATTTGAACTAAACGATATACCACCAGCGCCAAGAGGAGTTGCTACAGTGGATATCACGTTTGATATTGACGCTAATGGGATTCTGTCAGTATTTGCGCAAGAACGAAGCAGTGGAACTAACAATTGCCTAGTGGTGACAAACGACCATCGCCTCAAGCCACAGGAAATCAAAAAGATGATAGCAGACGCTGAGGCGTTCAAGGAGGAGGATACGGAGAATAAACGACGATTAGAAGTCCGCAACCAGTTGGAAGGCTACGTGTACAGCGTGAAGCAGTCTGTCGCGGAAAATATCGAGAAGTTGTCGGCAAACGAAGTCTCTAAATTTACTAAGGAATGTGATGAAGCCATAGAATGGTTAGAAAAGAACCCGGATTGCTTGAGAGAGGAATATGAAAAGAAGATGTCAGAATTACTCATACGTTGGACTTGGATGATGAGTAAATTTTGCGATTTTCTGAGACAAAGAGCGAAAAGACGCAAAAGCGAAACGCAAAGTGAATTTGAAGGACATAGTCCAACGACTATCGAAGAAATGGATAACGGGGAGTGATGGAAACCCAAAAACTTGTGAGGGTCGAGCAGAGATTTTATTCAATGATAACAGAAGTTTTCAATATTAGTATACGTAATACGTATAGATAAATCTCTCCGGTAAGTCAGTATTATTATTTCATATGTTCCGTAATTTCAAGGAGATTCACACCTAGGTAAAACACTTAAACCGTAAATGTCGTCCCTGACAACGCAGTCTGAAGTGAATTCATCACTATTATTTAATAATTATTATTATTAAATAAAATACAGCTGCCTGGTGTTTTATTTACCTTTCAGACTAGCAGCACATACAGTGGTCTATAAAATGTAAAACACAGTTTATGGGCCTCTACAAATAACTTGATATAGCCGCTTTTATGACCAAAAGAAATTAATCTGGGATGTGCCATATTATAAGTGCCATGTTATAAAAATAAGTATTATTTTTAATTTTGAGATCTTAGGACTAAATTAGTAATTTTACGAAACTAGGCGTTCAGACTGCATTGTATATTTTTCCTTTTTAACAAACTCACCGCCCTAAATGAAATTCGCATACAGATAACGGTTACGTTTTAGTTTTCAGCAGGATATCCTGTATACCGAACCTTGAACCGTCTGGAAACATCAAGATACTGAAGAAGAAAAAATGGAACACTAGATCCTGGTTACTACAGGCCAAAGATATACTCAAAGACATACGTAAACTTTATCAAGCGACTGGCATTATTGAACCAATAAGTAAAGTGAACTTTGAACTTAAATTTAAAATTAGAAAATTATTAGAATGTGACTTTAAGTCGTCAGGGGATTTTTAGAAGTCGTTTTTATATAAAAAAAGCAGTGATTAAAAATAAAAAGCTGAATCAACATGAAAAAGCAAACATAGTGACTTTATAGGTATGCTTTTGGCGAATAAGAAATCTCTAGGAGAACAATTATCAAGAAGTAGAAATACTACGGAATATTTTTGATTTTTATGGATTTTCGTCTGTGATTAATGCTGTGTTTTAATGCTAGCACATTATTGCATTTGTTTTTTTAATATTATACTAGATTGTTGATTGTTGTTTTAATATGTAACTAGACTTGTATTGAATTAAATAAAAGGTATTTTTGGTGCGTTGTTTTATTTATCCGCCTTATAGATGTGAAGTAGTAAATAATTTGCGTTTTTCTTTGTTTTGATTTCTTTTCCTAAGTCCTATCCTCTTTTCATATTTTTAAATTTCTACTCTTGGTTACTTACAATTCTGCAAAAACATCAATAATGAAGCTTAATTGTATTAATTGTATTTAATTGATCGTATTCTGCTTGTGACTATATATTTTTTATTTCAACAAAACTGACTCGTCCTTTACAAAACAAATCTCTACATAGTATAAACAAAGTTGCTTCCCTTCGTCTGTACACTTCTACGCAACGTTTTTTTGATGCGGTTTACATTAATGGACAGAATGATTCAAGAGGAGGGTTTGCGTTTAATACATGCATGTTATGTTGTCGAGGTCCAAAAATCACGCGTGTGAAGACGAGGGGTCTGTAGTATCCTAATAAAAAAAGCAAGTGCCGTACTTCATTGGAATGCCGCAGCATCGTCGCCAACAAGTCAAAAGTCACAAATTGGCGAATTCGTTTCGTCGTGTAAATTACCTAGTTCAAATACAATTCAATATGAATTTTTCGGCGACGTTGCTGGCAGCTATAAAGAGTGTACACCTACATTTAAAAAGTTAAAAGCGCTTATTTGTCCCCGCGTAATGTGATGTCCGAATGAGGGCTAGTAATGGTTCACTCACCAGATGTCGCAGTAGTTGAAACAGGTGAAGTGTTTTGTAACACAATGTCAAAAGTTAGTTTTAAAATAAAAGTTTATCAATTTCTAGAGTATTATATTTAATAAAACAATGCTTCAGTGGTTGTTGCTTTTAAAATTCTTGTACATATTTAACTTTTTTTTTAATTTTTCGACCTTTACGAATGTCTATGGTTTGGTTTGTTTATTTTTAATCTAATTAATATAAAATTTAATCAACAGTACAGGAAAGAACCTAAACCTCTAAAATTTTCGAACGATTACTTCCCCCCTATGAAATCTGTCAAATAATTACACCTTATTTTTAAGTGGCGCCCCCTGATGACAGAAAATGTCGTGGATGCCCTCATTGTTCGGCGACGTCGACGGTGCTGTCATCTAGGTGTGTTCGCCTACATTTCAAAGGTTAAAAGCGCTTATAATGCGCTTATTTATACCTGTCTCTCATTACTTACCTGATCATGATATTATGTTGGCCGATTTACATTGATCAACATTTAGTGAAGATAATAAGCAGCGGGTAGGACTCTAACGACAGGTCTGTGGTTTTTTACCTGTGTGGACCTTTTATATTTTTCGGCAAGCGTGCCGAAATGAACCCACACGTGCGACTCGCTACAACGCCTTATGCAGCTGAATATACTGTGGGACCGTGTTTTTTTTAATTTATCGACACAAGACACAGATACAATAAATACTTATACAATTTTATCTGTTAAGGAAAATATGTTAGTAAAGGAAAACTTAGTGCTATTTTTTTATATTTACATAATTAGTTGATTTTATTTATAGGAATAAAACTTCTATTTGCTCTACAATAAAAGTAAGACCGACGTAAAAAAACATAAAGGAATAAAATAATTTTCATATATTTTAGATTAGCTTCTGAAGTATGGAGTGTAGAGGTAAGGAGTACAGACTGTACAAAAAAGTGTCCGTAGGAAAGCGTTAAATAAGGGTGGCGCCACTGTAGCTATAGTCTAAATTTTAAAGAACTTTTTATAATTTTTTATTACACAGACTTTCACCATAATTCTTTTTACAATAATTATTTTATTGCTTTCAAAATTTTTATTTTCAAAATCACTCTCATCTTATTTTACGGTGATTTAACATACCCCGTAGCTACTTGAGCGCTGTAGTGGAGAGCTTTTGAACTGTTATTTACTGCTTACAGATGGAAACTTAACTATTCTCCTATGGGAGTTGGTACTCCTTACTTCTACAATCCATATTCTGAAGTCTTCGATTAAAAATAGATGCGATATCACACCTGATACGTAGTATATACTATTATTTATTCTGTGCCCCTGAGGACTAAGATTGAAATCGTTTCCAGTAAAAAAGGTCTCAAGTTCACTACACTCACCATACAAAGCAGCATTTTACACGCTGGTGTTCATGGTATATTTTAATATCGGAGATTATTTATTTCTAGTCTGTTTTTGAGATGGGTTTTTACTTTCTTGAAAGGTTTAATTACAATTTAAATGCTCGTCATTGAATAAACGGGTTTTATACATTTGCAATCGTTATAGCTTTGATGGCCCGCACCAAAATTGCACTAATTTTGGTACGGATACGATGCCGCGGATTCGAATCCCGCACAGAACTACTGTTCCTATAACTAAAATAAAATTGTTTCGAGTATATGTCCGTATTCAATTTACCTACATAAAAGCCTAAACAATATAAGAAAAATCCTGTTGTGAAGTAAATATTAGAAAATGGTAGATTAGGTGCTTACTAGGATGAGTTATATTTTTTTTAAATCTACTTTAATGTTTCTAATCCATATACTTTGTGTGGTTAATATGGACAAACCGGTACGATGATGCCTATACTAGCTTCTAATAGAAAAAAGGGATAGACAGGTGTAGTTGCGTTCCGAAGGTTTTTTTTTAAATTGCAGTGGCAAACAAACTTAACAGTATACCTGATGGTAAGCTACTGCAGTCTATGGGAACCTACAATGCATTTTAGGCTCCAGCATTATACTGCTATGTTGCTGCTGCTACTCTGGTGTTTTAGGGGAACGTGATCTACCCTCAGTGAAGCCTACCCATTGGCACCGCACCCGTAATACCTTGAAGCATAACTACCATGTATAAAATTCGGTTCAGCGAATACATTGAATCACTTACTGTATAAAATTATTTTCGGATCAAATAATATTTAATGTTGAAAAAAATTGATCTATTTAGATTTTGGAACATAATATTACCGATTTTTAAAACAGTTTTTTTGTTTATTTTTTTAAGAACTTCGGCGTTGTGGAGTTGTTCGAGGGCGGGCAACATCGGCAGCATACGGCAATGATGGTGATGGCGATGCTGGGCTTCTACTTTGAGCCATCTCGTCACGATAGGGACAGATACGTGAGAGTCCACCCGCGTCACATACGACCAGGTCAGTTGATCCTTCGAGCAGGACACACTTTTCTACCTGTTCTCTAAAGAAAATGTTTATGTTATGTGTTATACTTAGTACATATTTATTTTTTCATTACTTTTATAAGAGACTATTTACAAGCGCACGGTTCAGTTGTCACTTAATATTATACTTTATCAGGCCCGTAAAATTCGTTGTTTGATCTCCCCATTTTTATGGAGATTAGCCATAATCTTGTATGGCAAGTGGGTTTCTTTTTTTTTCTAAAACTTAATTATTAAGTAGGAAATTAGTTACTACTGCTCATAGACTCAGATCTGGACATGTTCCATGTAAGAAATTTGTCTTCTTGATGAGAAAAACAATTGTGAAGATTGTGGAGTGGAGTAGAAGACATACATACACCATTTATTGATGGAATGTGTTCGATTTGAGTCCGTTGGATGTAATTTAATAAGGATCTTGAATTTGAACAGAACTGACGTAGGTACATATCATAATATTTATCCCAACCAAATGGCGACGATGCGGAAGTTCTGTTCGAATCCATGACCCACGTAGTATAATAATCAACGTTATGAGTTAGTGATCTATGTTAGGGTATGATGGGACTGACATATGCTAAGCGGTAAATGTCCCGTAAAGGATTGTAGTATAAAAAGCGCAGGGTTCAGTAGTCGCTTAATCTTATACTAAACTTTATCGGGCCCTTAAAATTCATTGTTGGATCTCCTCGTTTTTATGGAGATTAGCCACAATCTCGCATGGCAAATGGTCTGGCTTTTTATTTCGTAATAATGGAAATGATAAATAAACGTATTGTCTACCTGATGATTACTGACTAATGAAGTGGTAGACCCAGGCTGCAGCTATATTATGTTTGTAGCATGAATGGGTCGGCTCGACCGGGGAAGGAGCACGCTCTCACAGAATACCAGCGTAAAATACACCTCCCACTCTTATCCTATAAAAAAAGTAACCACACCTGCAACCGATTTCAAATAAAGAAATAATTAAGGATGCGTTGTTACCTATGAGAACTAAGATGGAATCTTCGGTCTTCAGACCGGTGTGGCGGTGAACATGACAGAGCACGCCCTGCTTCTTAGTAGCAGAAAAGTTCTGTAAGAAGCTAGCGGCAAAAAAAAAGACTAGACTGGCTCTTAGACGGAAAATATTATAGGCTACCGAACTTTCGAACTTTACCTATTTATATTTTTATACTTGCGATATCGTGGGGAAAGGGGTTGGGAAAGAGTGGCATTTTTGACTCCGAGTGGCAGAAACCCATGCTGAGAGAGCCCCATGTGCAGCTGTAGACGTGATAAATATCTCAATGGGGCAGACTAAGGGGGAGGGGATGGGTCTATGTTTAGCAATGGTCTTTTTATAGGCCGTTGTGAATGAATTATTAAATGAATGAAAATGACTTTCAGAAAATTATTGCCTGCTTCCGTTTAAAGTAAATTTTCTCAATAGACAAACTGCACCACTTCGAGAAACTGCGTCCCGATGCAACTTTGCCACTGCCATACGATTACCGAAGCGCGACACATCCTGCCTGGCAGTTCTGGAGGCAGCTTGGCAGGACTGGGATTTCGGCTGTGGCCACATACAAGGACCAGGTATCATCTTCACATGTCACACCTCCGTTATCTAATTTTCTTTTTCGCACGACTTTTTTGGGAAATCGTCGATAAGACTTCGGGATCTCCACTAAACGGGGTTACTCCTTTTTAAAAGGCCGGCAACGCATCTGCAATTCCCCTAGTATTGCAGTTATTCTTGGACGGCGGTCCAAACTTACATTTATCATTTGATCTACATTTGAGCCGCAAGCTCGTTTGCCTCTCTTCTTCTATAAAAAAAATCTATCCATATAAATAAAATTGAAGTATCTGTCTGTACTACGCGATTTAAATAAGAATAACTGACTTGGCACCATATTGTGACGTCATAGCTGTCAATTCAAATCAGGTTAGGTAGGGTGAACAAAACAGATATTTTTGAAAAATATTTATTTACAACAGAACCACGAACGAAAAATTATTAATCTGAATCTAGCATTATAATTTCGCTCATATCTGCATCACTGTCTGTGTAGTCTTCATTATCATCACAGCTGCTTTAACTTATAAAAATAGAACATGTATTTATGTATGCATTTAAAATGTTCCACCGACCTGTATCAATATTTTAAATTAACATATAAAAATAATTATGAGTTCATTAGATTTTGTAAAACTAAGACTCGATAAACTAAGCGAAAAAAAGAACGTTATTAATACGTTAATTAATTTTCTTTGCAAGTCGTACTTTTTAAGTGACAGTTCGAATGGCCGATCACGGCCATTCGAAGTCATTGATGTTCCAGTTCTTATTTGAATTGCATTGTAGTATTGAAATAAATGGTTTCTATTAAGCTCAAAACTATCAAACGTATTGATATTCTTGCTCTGTGCGACTTTCTTGTTTGATCACAGACTATTATATGTTAGATACGTAGAATTCTACTTCCCAACACGTGAATAATGTGGCTTGACAATGTCACTATGAACGTCTGAACTATGGAGGTTAGAGGTAAGGAGTACAGATTATGTATAAAAAGGGTCCGTAGGAAAGCGCTAAATAAGGGTGGCGCCACTGTAGCTACACTCAAATTTTTTTTACTGCACCTACTTTCACCATAATTCTTTTTACAGTAATTATTTTATTGCTTTCAAAATTTTTGTTTTCAAAATCACTCTAAACGTATTTTACGGCGATTTTTCATACCCAGTAGCTACTCGAGCGCTGTTGTGGAGAGTTTTTGAACTTTTATTTACTACTTAGAGATGGATATTTTCAACTATTCTCCTATGAGAGATTATCCTCCTTACCTCTATACTCCATGGTCTGAACGTATATAAACGACATTATCAAGTATTTCACATTGGCGGTATGAACTTAAACAAAGAATGTTTTAATTTATTTTATTTCATCTTTTTGTAACACGTACTATATAAACAGAGGTTATTGCATGCTAGTAAGACATAAAACCACTTTTTAAACTTTTCTCTGTCGGGTGAACCGATTGTAAGAGCAATGCCAGAGTCGACCTAGTCTATAATATATCAGAAAAACGAAAATTGGTAAAATAAAAATAGTCTCTGATTATCTTTAATCTGAATAACACCAAAATAATAGATTCCGCCCAAAACTTCATATACACATTAGATGAATATTGGCGGACTTAATGCCTGAGGCATTATCTACCAGTCTACCTTAGAGTAGTGCAGAGATAAAAGGGGTAGGTGCAATAAGAAGTATGTACAAAAAAATATATATATATATATATATAAACTCATACATATATAAGCGCATAAATATACACACATATAAACATTATGTAAGTATATATACATATACATACATATTTATATACACACATACACACACATTAGTCGTCACAGTAGTCAACACGAATAGCCTTTTTCGCAACTAGGTGCACTGGTGCACTCCAGAGTGAAAAGGATGGTCTAAATATGTTGTTTTCTAGCATTTTTTCTAGCTGTTTATTTATTACATCGTTTATAACGTAAGCGTTCTAATTGGATGCTTAACGTCATTTGTAAAGGTAAGGGGTAACTGTTCTGAGTAAAATATGTCCTTATACTGTAAACACATATATATATATATATATATATATATATATATATATATATATTAAATATAATATTAAACACGGCTAACTACGAACGCTAAGTTGATTCTGCCATTTTATTGACGAGCAGTTCTCGCACTTTAGATTTGAACGAAATCCGGTTTTCGGCACTCCTGATTTCGGAAGGAAGAGCGTTCCAAAGAAGAACAGATTGAACAAAGAACGATGATTGTACAAAATTAGTACTAAAAGGGGGGCACTGAAGCAAAAGGTTATTACTAGAACGGAGAACTCTATCATGGTTGGAGCTAAGATATTGAAAATGAGGAGTTAAATAAGATGGAGGATTAGGAGACATCAAGTTAGAGTAAAGAGTAGTGAGTGCACGTAGACTACGGCGCTGACGAATGGGTAACCAATTGAGTTGAGAGCGATAAGTAGACACATGATCATACTTTCGAAGATTAAAATGAATCTAATGCAGTTATTAAGAAGACGGTCATATTTGTTCAAGAGTTCTGCATTCAGGTCAAAATAACACACATCACCATAGTCAAAAATGGGAAAAATTAAGGTCTGCACAATAATCGTCTTGGTCCTGGACGGGAGAAAGTTCTTCAGGCGGTAGAGAGAACTCAAAATACCTGTCACTTTCTGACAAACATTTCCAGCTCAAGGTGGAGTCAATGTGCAATGCAAGGTCTTTCACGGTATTACTCAGTTCTAAAATAAAACCGTTAAAAATGATCGGCGGTAAAGCTGTGTTATCCAGTTTCTTTATCATCCGTTGGCTACCTATTATTATAGCCTGACATTTGGATGCGTAACTTTAAGACCAAACTTGTCAGACCAATGCTTTATATACTCTAGGTCCTTATTAAGAGACTCAATTGATGTATATATACAGTCGACCTTCGCGTGTGCGTACAACTGCAAGTCATCAGCATACAAATGATACGCACACTGAAGATTTGGGGTAATGAGATTTATAAATATTGAAAATAACAACGGAGATAGAATACCGCCTTGAGGAACACCAGCATGCAAGTTACACCAACTTGATGAGGACTCGTCAATGCGAACTGACTGATGGCGGCCTCGAATATAAGATGAGAACCACTTCAAAGCCTCAGATGAGATCATAGAAAGTGAAAGGATTGATAATAGGATGTCGTGACTGATGGCGTTAAAGGCGTTAGAGAAGTCAACCAAAACCAGTACTGTGACTTTAGTTTCCTCCAGGCCTGCCCTAATGTCTCCAGTGACTTTGAGGAGCGCGGAAACAGTGCTATGACCTGGTCTGAAACCCAGACTGTAATGAGCTTAACAGGTTATTCGAGAAGATAAAATGTGATAGCTGTTTGTGTACACAAGCCTCTAGCACCTTTGATAAAAAAGGGAAGAATGGATATAGGTCGGAAGTGATTAGGTAAAGAAGGATTAGAAATTTTTGGCAGAGGTATAATGTAAGCTTTACGCCACAGCGACGGAAAAACTCCAGAATCCAGAGAGAAGTTAATTATATGGGAAATAGCAGGGAGGAGATGGTCTATAATATTAATAATCATACGGCGACTGATATTGTCACAACCAATAGCGTTAGACTTAATGGAGAGTATAACCTTCCTGATCTCATTCGCAGCTATTGGAGAGAAGTGGAAAAGAGCGATAATAGGACGAGGTAAACCCATTAACTGATTAACAGTTTGACACTTGGTTTGGTGATCCAGAGGTGTATGTGAAGAGAAGTGTTGATTGATATCGTCCAAACCAATTGTCCCCTGAAACTCAGAATGGGACTTCTTACCAATACCCATAGTTCCAAGCAACTTCCAGATAGCGGGGGAAGAGGATATGATGTTGTTAAGAATATATCGGCGTTTCGCGTTGCGTATCATCTGGTTACACCGATTTATTGCAGTTTTAAAAATGGACCAATTTTCCTCACACCGCTTTTTTCTATATTTCTGAAAGGCTCGGTCTCTACGCCTCATCACAACGCGGATCTCTGTTGTCATCCAAGGTGCTGGCAGCCGCTTTAGCTTTACTTTTTTAATAGGAGCATGCATATTATATAGATTAATTAATATGTTATTAAATGCGCTAACTTTTTCGTCTACCGTGGGAGCGGCTGTCACTGTGTCCCAGTTAATTTTAGAAGCATCCTGACACAACTTCTCTACATCCATACGGCCAAAACTACGCAAGTGCAGGATTTTAGGTGAGGGCTTAGGAGGTTTCAGGATATAGGAAAGGAAAATGAAATCATGATGGGAGAAACCAGACGCATAATGTTGACCATAAGTAGAGACAAGGGGGGGGTGTTTGAGGTTAGCATTAAATCGAGCCACGTGTCCTCCCCGTCCGCATTGTGGTGAGTGGCTTGTAGAGGTAGAACATGAAGGCCAACCGACTCGATTATTTGAAGGAACTTATAGGAACGGGATGAGTGCGAAGCCAGGAGATTTGTATTAAAATCACCCATGATGATGTGATGTGAGTATTCTGACCCTAAAGATTCCAGAGTCGTTTCGAGACTGGAGAAGTAATCAACAGAGGGGGGACAATATACAACACCAAGAGCGGTTTTAGCTCCCTTCACACATACTTCAAGAAAAAGAAATTCAGCAGATGCGGAGTAAAAGGGCGAGGAGGAAGCTACAAGTTTATAAGATAAGTCACTGCGAAGGTATATAGCAACACCACCCCCTCTCTTATCAACCCGATCGTTACGTATCAAAGTGAAACCAGAGAGGGGGTAAGTGGTTGAAAGAAGATGGGGCTTCAATCAGCTCTCCGAAATTGAACGTTCAGTTTGTAAAGGCTTAATGAGATCACTATAGTGGCTGGGTACACTTTGTGCATTGATATCACACACATTTAGCAAAGAGCTACACTGGTCAAATGTATGACGTAGAAAATCACCCAGCGTATCAGTTATGGAACAAAAACTATCGTCAATAGATGTAGCAGTTTCGTTGGCAGAAAAAAATCATCATCAGCGTTCATAAAAATAAATATAGATTTTTATATATATAGTATATGATATAAAATATATAAAACTAATTCAATTTTATTAAAACGTACCTAACTTAGGTTGTAAGCCAAGGCCTTTTTACTGGAAACGAGGCATTTCATCTTAGTCCTCACGGGTGAAACTGCATCTGCATTTCGATTCGTAATCGAGGATAGATGTAGATGTCTATGGGCCGCAGCAACCACTTACCGTCAGGTGGACTGTGTGCTCGTTTGTCACCCTATCCTATAAAAAAAAGTCTAGGTTAAGGTGATCAACATCCAAAAAAAAAATTGATAGTTCTACTCTACTTCTACTCTTCTTTGCGTCTCAACATAATATAAAACAGCCTGTCTCAACCTGGACTAGCCATCGGCGCAGGACAGGATTATAGTGCCCAAGTGTATGCGCAAGCACAGGTGCACTCTCTATTCCCTCACTCTCATAATCCCATGGGACGTTAAACCGACATGACCGAAGAGAAATCAGGCGCAGGACCAACGGCTTTACGTGCTTTCCGAGGCACGGGGGTGAGACACCGCCAAATTCCTGACATCGAATAGCTACTGAGAATTTCTTGACAGAAAAACTCATAATTCATTTTTTGGCCTGAACCGGGATTCAAACCCAGGACCTCAAGATCAGCAGTGACACTATTACAACCACTAGCTCACTATTCCATTTCTTCAATAGAAATAATGATTCAAGTGGAAGGTTTATATGTATATTTTTTTATAGACTAAGGGTGACAAACGAGCACACAGTCCACCATATTGCAAGTGGATGCTGTGCCCCATTGACATCTACATTTATTCTCGATTAAGAATCAAAATGCAGATGTGTTGTTCTCTACACTCACCGCACGAATCACAGCAGCATTAAGCTACTATTTTACTCTGGTATTCTGTGAGAGCGTGGTCCTGCCCCGGTCGAGCCGACCCATTCGTGCTACAACCATAATATAGTCGCGGCGTGACTCTACCACACAACATATGCATTGATGCATGCCTACAGGAGCATTTAACGTTGTAGAATCGTATTGCACCTATATTATTGTTGCACCACGGGTCGGTTAAGCCGGCAAAAGACCACTGACTCACGGAATACCAGTATAAAATAATAGCGCTCCTTTTCGTATAGTTAGTGTAGAGAATCAGAGACTCTTTTTAATGGAAACGAGGCATTTCATCTAAGTTCTCAGAGGTGACAACGCATCTGCATTTTGATTCTTAATCAAAAATAGACGTAGACAGTTATGGTCAACTACCTACAGCATTCAATTACCATCAGGTGGACTCTCAGTTCATTGTCACACTTCATCCATAAAAAAATAATATTTGTCCAATATTTTACCAGTATAATACAAGATAATGACATGACCTGGTTTGACCATTACATATTACTAGGGCGAAAATTCGCCATTTGTTAATATCCCGCCAAAACTCTTATAAAGTTTCTGGCAAAAACATACTAATAGCAATATATAAAATCGGCAGATATCGTTACTTTTTATTATTTACAGGACCCTGACGGTTCCATAATGAAGTCCTTGGGACATAACTCCAAGCTACTGTCAGATCTCGACATCGTAAAGATCAACAGCGTTTACGGTGTCAAGTGCTTTCTTTAGATATTCTTCAGGGAGCGACTCTGAAAAGATCCAACTTAGACAGGAAATAATAATTGATCTAATTTAAGTAAATACAAATATTTTAATAAAAATTATTGTTTAATTTTCAATCGAATTCTCACCCTCCACCCCCACCCCCTTCTCCCTCCTCCGTCATTTCTAAGAGAAGTAGGGAGTTAAACCGCCGCACTGGCTCCAGTAAGTGTTGGCAGACTTCACATAGCCTCAAAATATTCTAATCCTTATACTTGCTGCTTGCTTTACGATAGTTTTCTTCACCGTCGAGCACGCCGCAGTATTGTAACCTGGTTGCTCGTATTTATGGCGAGCGCATAGCCTTTAAGCAACCACAACAAAACGATGCTGATGAAGAAAAAAATAAAACAAAAAGAAACGAAATCGCATTTTATATAACAATTTCGTTTATTGTTTAGTCTTAAAGAAAAAAAACATACACAGATAAAAAAATCATGCGTCGTATTCGTTCTTACTTATTATATCATATACGGTGACGTCATCAGAGTAATGTCGACATTGGAATACGCATCTTGAAGTTTGGATCATCACACTGACCGCTGTAAGGTAATAATATTTTTTTAAAACATTCATTGATCTATTTTTATCACGTGTAGTAGTTAGAAATGCCAAATCGGAAGATCAAAACATCTCGACAAAATTAGAAAATGTCGGGAATTTGGGGTTGTTGTTCGGCGAAACAAATATTATAAATAAAAATGTAAAAAGTACACTAAATTTTTTGGTTTCCACATGTATTCGGCATTGGTCTTTACTGAGTCCACCAATTTGGATCCTTTATTAGTACTCAGAAAAGATTTAAAATTCAAACAATTTACTTCAAAGTTGAGTCTAATTACTAATTCAGCTTTTATTAAATCTAAAGCAGCTGTGATTTGAAGAGAAGCTGTTTAGAGATTTCGAGTTTTGTCGGGAGTCTGGACCGTTTAAAATGTCAGGAGAATTTAGACGAATCCCGACCATCTGGCAACCCTACGTGTAGTGGCGGAGTAAGATTATCCACTACTCTATATCGTCCTATGGGTGTCCTCACAGCCGACAGTAGGAAACTCAAATAGGAAATGATCGGCAGCATCTTCCAGATAACAACTCAAAATTATTTAAAAAAAAACTGCGGTTGCCAATCTTACCGCCAAGCGTGGCAACTATGGCCTATGTTCAGTAGTGGCTAAACACCAAGACTCCAAGCAATTATTTGCAGACTAAACAAATATTTTGTTCCGTGCGGGAATCGAATCTGCGACCCGCAGCGCCGCAGAAAAACGGTAAGCCAATAATTCCATTATGTACAGTGAAACATGGTTAAGTGAGACATCAAGGGACCTGCAATGTCGTTTCACTTATAGAGGTATTCCACTTACCCAGTGTCTCATATATACAGGTATAAATAAATATCTGTCTCATTTACAGAGGGTTCCACTAATAGAGGTGAGAATACAGGTTATTTCAGTTATACAGGTGCGATCATTAAATAAAATAAAGTGTTATGTATGTAAATGAGAATATATGTAGTACTTAAAGGTCATCATACAAATGTAATCAACAAAAATATTCAAGCACGTTTTTACACTTACGTGTATATCTATACTTCCAGTTCCAGCTTTAGATCAGCAAGTTGTAAAGTTTTATGTTAAAATATATCTCGTTTGTTTCTTGTTGGTTCTTTCCAGGACATAGGTATTTTCCAAACCAGGGGTAAATAAATACTTCAGTTTCAATAAGTATTATGTATTAAATACATTTTTAGCGGTAGAACTCCGCTGCAGCTATATTATGGTTGTGGCACGAATGGGTCGGCTCGACCGGGGAAGGACCACGCTCTCACAGAATACCAGCCTAAAATAGTAGCTTATTGCTGCTGTGTTTCGTATGGTGAGTGTAGAGAACAGAAAACCCTTTTTACTGGAAACGGGGCATTGAACAGGGTTATTTTTCAAAGAGTAATCAAATAAACTTAAGTTCAAATACGCAAATAATAATATAGTTTTTAAAAATACGAGTAAATAAGGCTTCTACTTTTGAAATTATCCTAAATTGAATGTGATTTGTGGGCAACAACGTTTTTGCCTACCGACAGATTCTTACGAAGGTTTTTTTTTATACAATACGGGTGACAAACGAGCACACAGTTCACCTGATGGTAAGTGGATGCTGTGGCCCATAGACATCTACATTTATCTTCGATTAATAATCAAAACGCAGATGCGTTGTCTCCCCTAAGGACTAAGATGGAATACCTCGTTTCTAGTAAAAAAGGGTCTCTGGATCTCTACACTGGCCAGTTATTGCATAATAACCCTGTATGATGATTGAAGTATAATATACCTACTTATTACATATTACTTCATAGCCATAGACTAATTATTCTCTCATTTATATCGATGTTTAAAGCATATGATAGCGACACGGCGAGAATCCAGAGGAGTCTGATCTGGTATTTCTACCTTATCGCTATTTAGTTTTGAAAATTTGGCAGGAAATATGAAATGAAAAAAAAACCGAGGCATTCCTTTTTAATCTGATAACGCATCTGCATTTTGATGCGTAATCGACGATAAATGTAGGCGTCAATTCACCAGAGTAACCATTTACCATCAGGTGGACCATGTGATCGTTTCTCACTCTTAATTCTATAAAAAAACCGTCATCTATCTTACTATATTAAATGTTTGGCAAAGAAAACTATCGATGTATTATATAAATATAGTATATGCCCGGAGTACGGATGTTGACGTTGTTTCAACGTTTTTTTGGCAACGTTGTTTCAAAGGCACGGGCTTTGGAAATGGAAAGCACGTAAAGCCGTTGGTCATGATCAATCTAATCTTGCTCCGGTCGTATGGGATAGTCCGTGCATGCGCACATTCGTACACTATAATCCTGTTCTGGAGGACATTATTATTATTATTTATTGTGAAGCTATATTGTGTAAAAGTACATATAAATAGCAAATGGCAACAAAAAGCGGTAACTTACCTGGTCGTTCAACAGCAATTGGTGTGGTCCTTTCGATTATATGTTCATGTTTCCAACGAAAAAACATCTTTTTTATTATTGCTATTACTAAAGCAATCATGAAAATACTGATTCCAAATAATATAGTATATAGCGCCATTTATATAAATGAAGTATTGGATATATAAACATTTTGTTTACCCGTAAAAATGAAATAATAAAAAGTAATCATCAACGAGCAATTGTAATGACATACCTACCATAGAGTACCTTTATAAATACCAACGTATGACGTTAAAAAAATAAAACAATACACATTTTTTAATTAAATTGAAAACAGATTTAAAAAAAAGTTTAATAGACTGCCTATAGCGTAGTGTAAGTATATAGATAGATTAATTACTTATTTCGAAATAATGTAAAAACATAAAATAAATTTTCTAAAGAAGTAAATTATCAATTAATAAATTGGATTATCGATTGATAAATTACAACCTGAAAACTTTATACAAATTACGACAAAATAATGTACACTCGTATTTTTTATATTTCTGCGTAACTAGAAGATGTTGCAATGATTTAAACAACTTAAAAAATTGCTGCTTAATGATAATTACTATATTACACAATATGACTACATAAAATTCTCGCAATAAATTTAAAAAGTTAAAAGTTAGACTTAATATTCCACTAAAATAAAAATGAAAAAGGGACAACGCTGTTTCTGTCAATCGGAAGATATAATGGACCTGGAAGATTATGCTATGAAGCGAGGCTCCCGTCACGTCATTGGTATCGCACTTCATTTATATGTTTTTGTTGGAATAACATTATATTTTGGAAAATTTGATCCTTTATTAATCTTAATTTAGCGATATATGAAGCGTATTTATATCCATATAAATGTTATATGAAGTGTAAACGCATTGCGTGCGTTTACGTTTCTCTGTCTTCTTTTAGAATTTGAACTATATGAATTAATTTTCGACAGACTTATTGGTGCTTGGTGTAGTTAGTTTAGAGTTTCAAGTACAGAAGATGAAATTAACCACACCAGTAACTTTGTCGACACCAAATATTTATGTTTAACCTTCATCGACATATAATATGTGTAATATTTATAAATTTGATACAATCACTAAGTTTTAAGTTGCCTAGAAGTAGTATATACGAATTTGATGTATATAAATTGAAATTGAAATTGAGAATTGTTGACAAAAAACCCCAATAACTGATTTTGACCACATGTTCAACAATCCCGATCACTGGATCATCGTAGGTGTTTGATGAGTGAGTCAATGAATTACTGAGTTGGTGAGCGATACCTACCTATATTGGCAATTTTCAGACTTTAATAAATAATTAACTATAATAGTAATGCTGTGGGGGAGGGGGGATAATTAGCTTGGCTGACCCACTGCTGGCCTTTGTATTGTACACAATAACAATAAAAAAAAATGCAAACCAGACGCGTTAACAAACTTCTTGTTTTAAATTTCTACGCACATAACATTTGACGACATTATAAAATACCTTTTTTTAAATGCCGCGAAACTTCATCTGTAATCCTTGTATCGGATGCGGAAATTTTCGAAAAGTGCAATAAAATGTTAATAATATTATTATAAATTCATAAACAATCGCCACGAAATGAATTTTGACGATTACGGTAAGTTAAAATAAAAGACTTGGGTATTTTATTAAATAAATAGCTAATATTTATACTTAAGTCCGATTGTAAATAACAATTTAGAAAAGTAAGTAAATAATAATTTCGTGGTGAGTCTGTTAAAAAGCTATTTTATTATTTAGTAAAAAAGATTAATTATCCAATATTTCAAAAGTATATAAAAAATATTAACAGTACTTATATATAATTAAAGTCTCACTTTTCAGCGCGCCAAATAACCTTAAAATATCGCGTAGCTATCGCAATAGCAATATTAAAAAACAAACCCGATAATATATTATTAGATCAATACATAAATAGATTAAGAAATCAAGTCGACGAAATGGATATGGAATACGATTCGGATATGACAATATGCAGTGATGATTTTCGATTTGATGATAAAATTGACAATCACCAAAATAAAGACAGTTTTATTGATGAACAATGTTTAGATGTTAATGATGTTCGAGACAACATATTAGACGTGACTCAGGAAACCAACATTAGTACTAATATTCTAGAAGGTCTTGAATTAGATCAGTTTGTGCACGAAAATGACAGTGATTCTAGAAATATGAATCCGCTTTTAGAAGTTTTAAATCTGTCCAAAGAAGTGGAGTTACCTAATCATAAGGTATGTTAAATTCTTTAATCAGAAAGAGGTTCTCAAATCAACTGTATTTATTTGCTATTTTTAATAGAATAATATTGAAACGAGCACGCAGTCTATCTGATGATGAGTAGATGCTATGTAGTTGATGCTGTGGCCTATCTATCCTCGATTAAGAATCAAATTCGATCAATAACTATGATGGAATGCCTCGTTTCCAGTAAAAAGGGTCTCTGGTTGTCTACACTCTTATGCTGTTATTTGACGCTGGTATTCTGTGAGAGTGTGGTCCTTCCCCGGTTGAGCCGACCAATTCCTGTTAAAACCATAATATAGCTGCAGCGTGGCTCTACCACGTATAAATAAAAGTGTACCACGCAAATATTTGTACGTACTCGTATGCTACGAGATATCTTCACCGAATGTTATTCGATTTTAATAATTATTTTCTTAAATAATAGGCTGCAAGGGAGTGCCTATTAAAATTTTGATTGAAAAAAATTTAAAGAAAAAAGAATAATTAAGGGATGGAATATTAAATTGATTATTTAGATGTTATAGGTCGTTACCTTTGTAATTTTTCTCAGTCCACACAAAAGGTTCAACCGAGTGTCACTTTCAATGCCACCAATTAAAATTGTAAATGAAATTCAAATACTAATTTACCAGTGGTAAAAGTAAACACCCGCAAGGAAACCTGCAATAATTATTAATGTATACGGACTGTCTTTCCGTTAATATCTTTTTTTTATAGGATGAGTGACAAACGATTACACAGTCCACCTGATGGTAAGTAGTTGCTGTGGCCCTGTGTTTGTGTGTGTGTAGACATCTACATCTATCCGCGACTTCGAATCAAAATGCAGATGCGTTGTCTCCCATGAGGACTAAGATGGAATGCCTCGTTTCCGGTAAAAAGGGTCTTCGGTTCTCTATACTCACCATATGAAACGCAGCAGCATTAAGCTACTATTTTATGCTGGTATTATGTGAGAGCGTGTTCCTGCCCCGGTCGAACCGACCCATTCGTGCTAGAACTATAATATAGCTGCAGCGTGGCTCTACCACGTATAAAAGACCACGTGGCAGAAGAAAGCACCCGTAAGGAAACCTGCAATAATTTCTAATGTATACGCACTGTCCGTCCGTTATGCTATTATTGAGTTGACTGGATGCATGCCGTCAAGACATGGGTAACCATTTTTAAAGTGTTCGCCTGTCGTCTGTCTGTTCGGGCCATAGAATACTATAATGCACAATAGAATGGCTGTCAAACTTATTTTGTACGAGATTCGGCGTCACCGGGAGCACACATACAAGAAATTACGTCGTATTAACACTACTACAAACCCGATTCGCTGTTTTGACAGACTGAGTAAATTTACACGTTTTAGACTTTTGATTAATGTTCAAAATCATCATTTAAAAAAATCTTTTAAATTTTAATTTATATTTATATGTAAATAGTGTGCAATTTGGTATTTTCTAAATAATTTGCATGCGAAATTCGAAAACGATTGTTAAGTCAAAACACATCTCGTTTTGACATTTATACGTGTGAATTGACGTGTTAGTGACATTTTAGTGGCTACACGGGCTTCGCCGACTCCCCCGTTCTGTTATGTATGTATTATAGTATTCTATGGTTCGGGCTAATACAACTTCACGAAGTTAGCAACGCCAGATGTGAACTAGGCTATAATTTATCCCAAAAACTATGAGGTTTTTCTTTAAATTAAAAAAAATTGGCGTTATTAAATAAATAATCTTTGATGATTATATTGAATCTAAATCTATCCAACCGAAGGCGGGACGGGTTGCTAGTTATTGATATTTGAGCAAACGTGAAATGCATTAAAAGCCTATACTACCTCAAATTGCTTAGCATGATCCTTCGTTATGCCGAAAATACTGCAGTTTGAAATTTAATTTTTATTTTTATACGTGGTAGAGCCATGCTGCAGTTCTATTAGTAGTATAGTTGTACCACGAATGGGTCGGCTCGGCCGGGGAAGGACCACGCTCTCACAGAATACCAGCGTGAAATAGTAGCTTAATGCTGTTGTATTTCGTATGGTGAGTGTACAGAACGGGAGACCCTTTTTACTGGAATCGAGGCATTCCATCTTAGTCCTCACTGGTGACAACGCATCTGCATTTTGATTTGCAATCGAAGATAGAAGTCTATGGGCCGCAGCAACCACTTACCTTCAGGTGGACTGTGTGCTCGTTTGTTGCCCTATCCTATAAAAAAAAATAAGTACTCTGTTAGACCAAAACAGGATTCCATAAAATATTCTCGATAGAAAAAGAATTCAAAGTTACCTCCAAACCAAACAATAAACCGCTGGTATTCACTAAATACTTCAAATTAGATCATGAAACTTTGCATACTAACCGAACTAACTTTAGTTCGGTTAGTATGCAAAGTTTATAAAAAAAATACATAAGACCTGATTTTTTTTATGATCATAATTTCATCGTAAAAAGAAATTAACTAAATTATCGGCGTCTCGAAACTTGTTCCCTGCCGCCCAACACCCCCACTCAATCAGTCTCCACAGAGCACTTTCTAATATACTGAAATCAGTCTATCTCTATCAGTATCGCTTCGGCTTTCGCGGGAAAGTTGTGTCGCTTGCTCTCAGAACACACATTACGCAACAGGACGACGTGAAATTAAAGTAGGAAATAACGAAGTTAGAATTTGAGCTGAGGTTGTTGTAGGCTCTTAACCACAGAGTACTTTTTATGTACCTGAAACTCTTAACACGTACAGGGCAAAGTATATGAGAGGAGGTATGTGCCTCCTTTCACTTCTAAGAGGATTTTAGGCTAAGGAAATGTCCGCCGTACTACCCCAAATGCGTGTTGGTGGACTTCATGTGTCTTCTAAATATTTTTTTATTTCTCAGACATGTAGGTTTCCTCACGATATTGTCCTTCACCGCCGGGCACATGTTAAATCAGCACTTAAAATTGCAATTAACAATTTGTTTGGTGCCGGTGGGAATCGAACCCGGGTTGCTCGCGTTCTATGAAGTTTATAGCGAACGCTAAGCCCCTGAGTTACCACGACGAAAGGTGTATTTTCCATTTATTAAAGTGACCGTATTTTTTTAAAGGTCGACAATGATCAACGTGAAATACAAACGCAATCAACTTTCTGTGAAAGCACACAAAGTCAAAACCTTTTAGAATTTCTTCAGAATGATCTTACAATCTGTCAGAACGACGCACAAGACGATAAACGAAAATTTATCAATCCGAGTTCTACAAATTATAAGCAAAGTGATATTGCAGAATATAATTTGCATCAAAACCTAACGAATAACAATCCTATTAAAAATACGTATGACTCTCAACAAACTCAGTTATATAGTTTCCATGGATTCAGCGACATTTATACCCATGTCAGTCAAAGCCAATCTGAACAAATGAAAATACCAAAAAATCATTTGTTTAACGTAAATTTAAACGATAATTTATCAAAAAATGGGAATGAAACACAGGAAAACCAATTTAAAAATGCTACTGAAACAGAATTAATGTATGACGCAAAATTAAAAGCAAATACAAACGAAGTAGTTAATTTAACTTTCAATTCTCATAGTGCTATTATAACTAACAAACGCACAACTAATAATAACAATAGTGTAAATTGTTCTGATAACTTAAATCTAATCGATGACTCCAATCAAAACGTTAAACAAAAAGTAACAGTTATTCAAGATGTAGTCGTAATGGAGGATGATGAAGTAGACAACGTGGACAATTCTCAAACAGAAATAGTTTCTTTCAAAGTAGTAGAGGAGTTGAACAGGATAAAAATGTTTTTAAACAAAAAGGACAAAGGTTCAATTGATGGTTATGCCACAGATTCTGGATATAAGAGTGACTCGCAAAGTAGGAGTTCTTTCAAAGGATGTAAGTTCATTATATTTATTTCGAAGTCGCTGTTAAATTTTAAAAATGTAGCTTGAACGAATGCGAGCTATGGAGACGGTATACTAGGAGTTTATCTGCATCATAGACTTAGAAATAGGGATATTCGCAGGAAAGGCAAAGTCACCGGCATAGTCCAGCGGATTTGCAAGCTGAAGCGGTAACAGCCCGGCCATTCTGTGCTTATGCTTTAAAAAAGAGAGTCTCGCTGGGTTTCTTGCTGGTGGGCTGGTTCCTCAGAACCGTGCTTTGTGGTATTCCTTAGGAGAGTCCCTTGTTTAGCACTGGACTTGTGAAAGGCTATTATGGATGAAAGAAACACTCAACACAATCAAGGCTACTGATAGGTGTGAAAATACCATCTCGAAAAAACCAAACATATCTAGAAGTGGAGAAGCGTTAGATTTTGAATACGTACGTCAAGCGTGGTAACTTAACAAAACTAAGTTCTAACATTTATGATTTCTTATATTTACGCGAACACTACACATTGAAATAATGCTAATTTTTACGGAATTTATCGCGTATATTTAACTTTTTTTACTTTTTTACCCGACGTTTCGAGAGCTTTACAGCACCCATGGTCACGGGAAGGACTGAGATGTTCAACGTCCAGCTGTCATAGTTAACCGCGGTTACCATAGATTAAAATTTAACTTTGGTTCCGATCTACACAGTATGAACTTATGGTATCATGGAGTCTTGCAGTTGTATGCTTGGGTTGGGATTTAATTTTATTTATTATAGGATCCCAAGCAGATGGTAGAACCCAGCCATCTTCTCTATTGAAATTAGGATGTTTTTTGATTTCAATAGCCTCGCGAATCATCCTTGGAAGGAATCGGTGTTCTTTAGCGAGGATTTGTGGTCTATCAAATCTGATGTTGAACATCTCAGTCCTTCCCGTGACCATGGGTGCTGTAAAGCTCTCGAAACGTCGGGTAAAAAAGTAAAAAAGTTAAATATACGCGATAAATTCCGTAAAAATTAGCATTATTTCAATCCAACATTTATTTTAATTTCCTATAGTGGCGGTGTAAGAATACTACCCCATATCATCCCGTGGATGTCGTAAGAGTCGACAGAGGGAAATTGAAGCAGGAGATAGGTAGCAGCGTCTTCCTGATAACAATACAAAATAATAAAAAACTGCCGTTGATAACCCGCTCGCCTTGCGTGGCAACTATGGCAAAATCCCATCTATGAGGCAATCTGCGGGGGAGGCCTATGTTCAGCAGTGGACTTTTATAGGCTGTAATGATAATGATAATGATGATGATGGTGACCATAGAATACTATAATACACAATAGAATGGCTGTCAACCTTATTTTGTACAAGAGTCGGTGTCGCCGGGAGCACACATACAAGCAATTACGTTGTATGATCACTACTACAAACCCGATGCGCTGTGTTGACAGACTGAGTAAATTTACACATTTTAGACTTTTGATTAATGTTCAAAATCATCATTAAAATCATTTAAATTTTAATACATATTTATTTGTAAATAGTGTGCAATTTGGCATTTTCTAAATAATTTGCATGCGAAATTTGGAAACGATTGTAACGTCAAAACACATTTAGTGTTGACAGTTATGCGTGTGAATTGACATGTTAGTGACATTTTACGCGGGCTCCGCCCACTCCCCCGTTCTATTATGTATGTATTATAGTATTCTATGATGATGACTGTTTCCGTGTTAATAATAATTCATTGTGCATTGGCGTTAGAGAAACAACTAACCTACATCGTCTCGTGGCTATCGTAAGAAGCGACAGAATAAAAAGAAACAGGATCTCCTGCCTCTTCATTCATCTTCCTGATGACAACTCAAAATAATAAAACACTGCGTTTGTCGACACTCCTGGGAAGCGTGGCGACCATAGCAAGTCCTATCCCTGTAAGACAATAAAGGGACTTTGATAGACTGTGATGTGTAAATGAACTACGTCTCGTGAGTGTGTCTATTTGTTTGTGACACCTTAACAATAGTTAATTTTACCCCTTCACCCCTTTTAGTTTAATAAAAGGGGTGAACCGATTTGGGTGCGGTTTTTTTATTTAAAAGCAAGTTTTATAGTGGTGTATGATCAAAATCGGTTCAGTCGTTTGAAGATCAGCTCTTTTTTTTTAATGTTCTATTTAAGTTATACCTCGATGAATAGTATCGCAGTCTACTTCTTCTGAAGATGCTTCGTTTAGAGGCGAAATAGGTGGCGTATTAGGTATCAATAGTGGTGTGTTCGCTATTGTAGTGGTTTTGGGTTCAGCTTCATGGTATGAGATATGACAGTGTACGCAATTGTGAGACGGAAGAAATTGTTCTTCAAACTAGACAAAACACACCATTGTCATTTCCACGATCGCTACAAAAGCAAAGTGCACTGCTGATCATGAAGTACTGGGTTAGAATCCAGAGTCGGGCAAAAAAATCAGTTATTGAGTTTTTGAGTCAAAAATTGCTCAGTAACTGCCCGCAGTCAGGAAATTCGCGGTGTCTCACCCCCGTACCTCTGAAAGCACGTAAAGCCTGCACCTGATCTCTCCCCATTCAATCGGATTATGAGAGTGAGGTAATAGAGAGTGCACTTGTGCTTGCGCTTATACTTGGGCACTATAATCCTGTCCTGCGCCGATGGCTAGTCTCCGTTGAGGCTGGCCGCCGTGACCGAAATTCGGTCGGGAGGATATTATGATTTGCACCCGGAACGGACCTTAGCTAAAATTAATTTGTACATTTTAGTTTTACATACACCTGACACGTGGGTCAATCAATCTGCGCACTGCCTCCTGAATTTCGTTAGAAGTTGTCCCATGGTTTTAAGGACAAGAGAAATCACAAATGAAATATCGCGCGTGAGTATTTAGTAAACTACCCACATTTTTAATTAGTTAACAAGTGCACGTGGTAGAGCCGCGCTGCAGCTATATTATGTTGTAGCACGAATAAGTCTGCTCGACCGGGGAAGGACACAGAATACCAGCGTAAAATGGTAGCATAATGCTGCTGTGCTTCCTATGGTGAATGTAGAGAACCGGATACCTTTTTTACTAGAAACGAGGTATAACTTCTTAGACCTCAGGGGTGACAACGCATCTGCATTTTGATTCTTAGTCGAGGATAAATGTAAATGTCTATGGAATACAGCATCCACTTACCATCAAGTGGACTGTGTGTAAGTTTGTCACCCTTATTGTTTAAAAACAAATAACAGAAATACCTGACTTTTACCTAAAAATTATATCTGTCTTAAGTTATAATCCTAGTGAGAAGACTAGGGCAGTCATGGAGTTATTATACTGGCACACGTTTAGTGCATATACATATTATATATTAGACTGTCATATATACTTATATACATGTCATATATACATAGGGGGTCATTGTAGAAGCGTGCTCGTCGCGACCCCTACCAGCCCTTTTCAGGGCTGCAATTCTACACAGCTGCGCACCCATGCAAACGAAGGTTAAGGTGTCCCCCCAAGGCGACGCACACTAGCTCGTCCCCGTTGGTGTGGAATGCAGCGCGCAAAACGGCGATGGGGACCGCCACCCGTCACGCACAGCCCGACACGGCGGGAGGTGGAGGACGGAGTGCAGAGTTGGCACGTGTAATGTTAGAGGGGGCATGAGAGATAAGACGAATGAGTTGATCGAAATAATGAAATAAGGAGAATTAGATGTCGTGTGTATGTCGGAGACCAAACGGAAAGGCAGTGGTACTGAAGAGGTCCCTGTCGGGATCTTAGCTATATGGTCCGGAGTCCCGGAAAGCGAGAACGCCTACCAGGGAGTGGGGGTGCTGTTGTCGTCCCGGTTGGTCGATATTATGACTGAATATAAGGTTGTGAACTCAAGACTTCTCTGGGTTCGCTTTAAAATGGGACTGACGAAGTTATTCCTTTTGGCTGTTTACGCGCCGGTAGCTTCGTCGTCCAGAGCTGAGCTGGAGGAGTTTTGGGAGAATGTAAGAGAAGTTCTAGATTTGCTTAAGGGAAATGAAAGAACATCACATACACATGTGGTGATTTGAATGGATGGGTAGGTATCGCTCGACCAGGGTACGAGTCGGTGCTTGGAAAGTTTGGCGATAAAAGGGTTAATGATGCTGGCAAGCTTATACTGGCTGTATGCAAGGAAAAGGGTCTTCTTGTGACAAACACTATTTTTACTCACAGGAAAATCCATATGTACACTAGAGAAAGAAAGAATGAGAGAAGTATGATCGATTTGTTCCTGGTGGATGACTGACTGCGAAAACAGGTGATGGATACACGAGTGTTCAGGGGTGCTGACCTGGGAATGGATCACTATCTAGTAATTACTAGATTTTGGGGTTTGTTCGCGGGTTGGCGCTACCGGACGGCAGTAACAGAACCACAGTCGGTCTGTCGCATCCGAAGCTGGAAGCTTCAGGAAGCGGATACTAAGGACAAATATCACACGAGGGTAGCCGAAAAGCTTGACACCATCGATGGCAGAAAAGAATATGTGGAAAGAACATGGCAGAACCTTAGGGATGGAATGGTAAGTGCAGCGGAAGAAGTATGTGGAACGACAAAAAGAGGTAGTAGTAAAAGAAGAGATGCATGGTGGAATGATGAAGTGAGAGAAGCTGTAAAGAAGAAGAAAAAAGCATGGTTAGACTACTTGGCCTCTAGTAACGATAAGTATATGAGAGAGAAGATGAAAGAAAGATATAAGCTGCAGAAAGTTCATGCGAAGACATTGATTGAGGAAGTACGTGAAAGGTGTAGAATAGAAGCGGACGAAAGGTTGTCGCACAACTTTAAGGAAAACTCCAAACTCTTCTGGAAAGAGGTTGGAAGGTCCCGGAGTGGTGCGACAGCCTTAAGAATGAACAAAGTGCTTTCGAGAACCGATGACGTCCTCTCAGAATAATCGGACGTCATTCAGCGATGGAGCGAATTTTATAGAGAAATGTATGCGTGTCATGATCTTAGTGAAGGATCCGGGGGTGACGCCGTGACTGACACGCCAGACACGGACCTCGACAACACTGAGGTCATCAGCATGAAAGAGATTGAACGTGCGATTCAATGTTTGAAATGTGGTAAGGCTGCGGGACTAGACAGAGTTACTGCTGAAATGGTCAAGTACGGTGGGGCTCGCGTCTGGGGCAATTTCCATCTGCTGTGCAATTTGTGCTGGCGGACGGGAGGTGTCCCGGATGATTTGTGATCCGCGGTCATTGTGCCTTTATATAAAGGTAAAGGTTCACATTTTGACTGCGGGTGCTATCGGGCGATCAGCTTAACCAGTTTAGCAAGTAAAGTTTATTCGAAGGTTTTGACACGTACGATGCAAGAGAAATCGAATAGATTCTTATGGGAGGCACAATGCGGATTTAGACCTTGAAGAGGATGCACGGATCAAATGTTTTCTCTCCGCATGATCACGGAAAAGCTTCTGACTGCTAACCAGAGGATTTTCTGTGCTTTTGTGGATCTGGAGAAAGCATTTGATAAGGTTATAAGGAAGAAAATGGGGGAACTGTTGCCGGAATATGGTGTGGATGGTCGATTGTTAAGGGCTGTGCAGTCATTTTACTATGACTGTAACGCCTGTGTGCGGGTAGGGCATGACCTGTCACCCATGTTTAGCGTCCAAGCGGGCGTAAAACAGGGTTGTGTCATGTCTTCCTGGCTGTTCATACTGTATCTCGACAGCTGTTTACAGAAGCTGAAAAATAGCTGTTTGGGTGTGAAATTGGGTGACATTAAAGTAAATTGTCTGTTGTATGCTGATGATGCAGTGCTTATTGCACCATCAGAAGCAGAACTGCAGCCATTAGTCACGTGTATGAAAGAGGAATGTGAAATTAAAGGTCTCCGTTTGAATGCTAATAAAACTAAGGTTCCGGTATTTGAAAAGGACGAAGAGAGAACGAAATGTGAAATATGGGTAAATCAGGAATGTCTAGAACAGGTAAATGAAATTGTATACTTGGGGAGTGCTTTCAGCCGGGATGGAAGATGTGATTTAGATGTGGACAGGCGTGTCGCTGCCGGGAACAAAGTCAATGGTGCCCTGAATGCATTAGTCAAGAGTGCACGCCTTGCAATACATAACGCAGTGTTGCTACCGACTTTGCTATATGGCAGCGAAACCTGGGTATGCCAGAAAAAGTATAAAAGCAAGTTGAATGCAGTGGAGATGCGATCTCTTCGTAAAATGTGCGGCATTACCATAGCCGTTCGAAAGCGAAACGAAGAGATTCGCAATATAACAGGATTGAAAGATGACCTTATCACAAAAATTGATAGGGGCTTACTCCAATGGTTTGGGCACGTTGAGCGAATGAGTGAAGACCGAATGGTGAAGAAAATATATAGCGCGAAAGTAAATATTAAAAGGTGTTGAGGTAGACCGAGACTAACTTTGGAAGACCATGTGAGCAAATTACTCGAAGACGGGAAGGTCAAGAGTACTCGGATACCTAGACGTGCATGTATGAAGAAGACAATGAACCTGAAAGAAGCGAAAGATACATACCGTAAGGATCGTGACACTTGGCGATCTGTTCTCTCTGGCTACCCCGTTAGGGATTGTGCGTGAAAATAAATAAGTAAGTAAGTAAAGTACTGTCATATATACTTGTATATCGGTCTATACACCCGCAGTTCATTCATGTTCTAGAAGTGAGTAAGAAGTAAGAACTAAATAAAAAAAATCAATTACATTTATACATAATATACACGCAAAGTACACTCTGTCTATTAGTCATAAACGTGGCTGTTGATTATGTTGTCCCGGGTTCAATTCCCGGATTGAGCCAATATCGGTTATATTGGGTTTTTCAGTCAAGAAATTCTCGGTATCAGTAAAATTACAAAGTACGCAAGCAATCGGTTCGATCACAACCCGTGAATTTTTGGACTCACCATTAAATGCTATGTAACATACATCTATTCTTGATTAGGAATCAATTCGCCAGCCAAGTTTTTGAAGTGAAAACTTCTTTAGCGTCGTTGACTTTTTCTGTGATGGGTAAAAATTGTTAAACTCGCGTCAGGACACGTGACCCTGATCGAAAATGCGTAAGACGGACGGCGTAGGAGGGGAAGTATCCCCCTCTCTTTCTACTGCGCGGCGGCCTGCTGTTTCGTTTAGGCGGCGCAGGGCGCTTGCGCGAATGTAATATAAATTGTCATGTTTGTGTACGATAGCGCAATAAATAAATATTGTATTCTACCACATAAATGATAGTACTTTTATACTGATAATTAAAGCAATTCGTCCAAAGTTATTCCCTAACCATTCCAAAATATCAAAAATGCACAACGTTATTATTCAAGTTTTCACTTCTGCCGGCACTCCCGGAGTGTAACCCGTCGTTTTTTTTATAGGATAGGGTGACAAACGAGCACACAGTCCACCTGATGGTAAGTGGTTGCTGTGACCCATAGACATCTACATTTTTTTATCATTTGATTACGAATCAAAATGCAGATGCGTTGTCACTCGTGAAGACTAAGATGGAATGGCTCCTTTCAAGTAAAAAGCGTCTCCGGTTCTCTACAATCATCATATGAAACACTTGCATTAAGCTGCTATTTCACCCTGGTATTCTGCAAGAACGTGGTCCTACCCTGGTCGAGTCTACCCAATTGTGCAATAACTTTAGATGCAGCATGGCTTTATCACGTGAAAAACTAGATGGTTAGCCAGCATAGTTTACCTGATGTTAAGTTTTATAACTGCCCATTACCCTACCTTCAACCTACTTCAAACAAGACATAATATAGCAGCAGCTTAAATTTAATTTCGTAAATTTTCTTCTAGTGAGCCGTGGTAGCACGGGGGCTAAGCTCGCAGTAAAAATGATCTCCGGTTCTCTACACTCTCTATACGGAGAAAAGCGGCATTTATTTGCTAATACATGTCACTATTCTGTGAGAGCGTGGATCTTTTTCGGTCAAGCGGACTCATGCGTGCTACAAACAAAATATTACTGAAACATGGCTCTACCACGTAAATTTTAATTACACTAGCTCTTACCAACTTCTGACTGGCACATAGCAGTGCACGTACTGCTATTTAGTGGCAGAAAAATGTAAGAAGGTTGTACCAACCCAGTCGGATTTCTAGCCAGAAAAGTAGTCAAATGATCGTAAAAGTGACATGCTTAGGTAGCTTTTATTAGACACGGATAATTTTGCGTTAAGGTTCTACTCACACGTACCACAACCACAACCACACCAGAACCACAACACGTGGACGGGCGCATTTAATATTGGAAATGAATAGTAGAATTCACCTGTACCACATTTTGCTGTAATTATCGACTGCGTGAGTGATACAGACCACAACGCAACCACTACGGAACCACACGAAACCAGCGGCCGGATACATCGCAAACATAACATTGAGTCGACGCCACGACTAGGGTTGTAACGCAACCACAACTCAACTGCAAAAAGCAGCAGCGACGATATTCACACGTGACCACATTTTTACTGTCGGTGCCATGTGGTGTGATTGTGGTACGTGTGGGCAGACCCTAACTCAGTGACTCGAGCGCAGTTTACTACGTCAGTTCATTGCGTTAACTCAAAAATGCGTTATGGTGAAACAAATTTTAAAAGCATCTGTCAACTCAGCCATCTGTCAAAATAAAACCGTGTGACCAGTAAGGGGAAAAAATGTAGAAAAGTAAGATTACCTACTTATTAAGTACTATGTATCACTCCTATTATATTTAACGGAGTTGCAGTTTATAAAAATAACATAAAATAACAACATCTTAACAGCTTTCGAATTTCGCCAACACATTTTGAAGAAGACATCGGCGCAATGAACTGAGCTAGCACGATTGCTTGACACTGACTGTATTCTATTATAGGTATTAGGTCGCCTTATTGACAAGTTGCACGAGGATGAGAAATACCCATCGTTTCTAGAAGACGTTTTAGAAACAGTGGAGACCTTACTCCGTGAGGTTTACGAAGAAAATAGCTACGAAGAAGACTTAGTGAGTAGTACAATAAAATTGATATGGTACATTTAGAGATGATGGTAGGAAACACGATGGTATAACTCTGGACCCCTGGGAGAGAGGTAAAAGTTCGTCTGTGGTATCAGAGCCAACTGATCTGTCTGAAAGTAGACTATCTTGAAGACTATATTTGTGCCATTTTCTGTAGAAATTAATAGTCCGTGAGAATCACAGCTGGTGAAGTTTCGCCGCTAGGGGCATGAGGGCTGGTTCTTTTCTTTTCATTCAGCCAGAAACGCAGTTCTTAGTACTGTACCTCGAAGAGTATATGCTCTATATGCAATCCTTTTCATTAAGCAAATAACGAAAATCCCGTAAAAGAAAATGTAAAAAATGGAGCAGCGGTGATGGCAAGCTAGTAAACAGAACAGCTAAATGACTGCTAAAAGTGATGTGGCTAAGGTCATTAACCTTTACCAGTTTGTATATACGAGTATGTTGTAGTGTTGTCAGGTTTTATAAGTATGCTCATTTTAGGGGAAATTTTATTTAAAATAAGTACATTTCAAAAAATTATAACTTTTTTATTTATATGATTTAACTGTTTTCAATTATCTTCTAGACTACTTATATTTGTCTATAACTATACGCCCCTATAAGAGCGTACAAGGATTCTTTACACATCTTATATTATGTGTGACGACTGCACCACCATATACCGTTTAGACGGAGTTCAGACATAGAACATTTTCTTGCATTTTCTTTATTGAAGAATTACATGTAAATAAATAAATACCTATTTCAGATTCTCCAGAAAGACGAAAAAATCCACCGACTATTTCTTCTAAATCGATCCTACCACATAATAAAATTCACAATCGAGAAAATAACGACTATACTAGAAAAGTTTTATTCTCAAATCAAAGACGATTCGTCATTTGAAATAAATAATACAGCGGAAATTGAAAATTTCAATTACATATTTTATATACTTGAAAATTTATTAAAAAGACATTCTGTGACTAAGGAACTATTCAGTCAAACCAGTACGCAAACTTCACAGGATGATGAAAAGTTCTTAAAAAAAAGCTCTATAACTGATATATGGCGGAAAAAATGGAATCCCAATTACAAACCTGATGTTCCACAAGTCAGTGTCGATAAAAAGTGTGTAGAATTGAAATGCAGTGAAATATTAAACAAAATAATTGTACAAGCGATGGAGGGTTATAGCCTTATATCTTACGCCGCGTTACAATGTTTTAATTTGTTGCAATCTTAAATCAATAAACGTTTATAAAATTATATGGGTTTTTGTGTCACTAATTTGTAACTACTAACACTAACGTGTATTTAATAGTATCGACGGTTTGACGTACACAACTTGTGTATTTTTTTATATGATAGGGTGACAAACGAGCACACAGTCCACCTGATGGTAAGTTGTTGATATACATCTGTACATCTCATCTGTACTGTAATGTGACATCTACATCTATCCTCGATTACAAATCAAAATGCAGATGCGTTGTCACCTGTGAGGACTAAGATCGTAGACAGAGAAACCTATAGACAAATTGACGCCTTCTTTCGCATTCGTACTCGAAAAAGATAGATTTATGCATACGTCTTGCATAGAAATGAGACAGAGCAGTGTGATTGTTTGTCCCTTTCTCCGTGCCGGTTTTTTTATTTAGCAAACTACACTTTGCTAAACAACTTTAACAGTTCGTAGCGATCTAAAGAGTTCACAAGTAGTTTTAAGTTAGAAAAAAAGTGTTTTGTGAGCTTAATATTGGTGAATCTTGTTCAGTTCAGTTCTTACAACAATTAAAAAAAATTCTAAATATGTTTAAAAGTCATAAAGATGATTGTATAACCTAAAACTAAGTTATCGTCCTTTCTCACTCGTAGTCACGCTAATCATTAGTCTATAGGTTTCTCTGTCTACGACTAAGATAGAATGCCTCGTTTCCAGTAAAAAGGATCTCCGGTTCTCCACACTCACCATACGAAACACAGCAGCATTAAGCTACTATTTCACGCTGGTATTCTGTGAAAGCGTGGTTCTTCCCCGGTTGAGTCGACCCATTCGTTCTACAACTATACTACTAATATAAATGCAGCATGGCTCTACCACGTATTTAAAGTATTTAAAGTTATCAGTATGAAAAATAATCCGATACCTCATTCAACCCGTAGATGACGTCATGGGCGACAGAGGGAAATGAATTAGGGGATGGGCATTAGCACCTTCCTGATAACACCACAGTTAACAAGTAAGGCAATTTTGGCTTATATCCCCTATCTCGAGTACAGAGTATATATGTGGCCTATATCACTAGCTTTTATGGAAACCGGCTTGTCCATGAGTATGGAAGTCGTCAAGTTTAAGTAGAACCTCCCAATCTTACTCAAAAGCTCAGCTGTCCTGAAAATGAGGTTGCCACTGTCTCTCCCAACGGATAGGTCTTAAAATGAACATAAACTAGACAAAGATTAAGTGTAGCGACTTTGTCATATTTAAACTAGTAGGTAGCCATCGGAATATTACTCACGAAGTTATTGGCGAGGATGTTTACTCAGGATAAATTGTTCTAATAGGTAGGTCAAACTTCGACCGAGCGGTCAATCAAAGGATCCAAGTCAACTAAACAACAAACACAAACAAGCAATTTAAGCTTACCACGAGTGGTTAAGGGGAATATTAGTGATATTTATAGCATTGTTAATATTCTTTTGTTAAACTAGGCAGCGTTCCGGATATTACGACACGTGTTCTCGTTACGTAGGTATTATCAGAACTTGAAAACAAGAGCGTATAACCAGTATATGAAGCCAGTTCTGGGACATGGCCCTTTAACGCTGGCCCTATAATAGATTTGGTAATAGATTTCGTAATCATTTTCGAGTTCGTAATCATAGCCGTTCGTTAATATTCTTGAGTGGCAGCTTACTGTCGGTCAGAAAAGTGTAAAACAGCCCTCCACTAGATGCAGTTAAAAAGTGTCCAAGCTACTGGGTAAATTTTAAAGAACGTACCGACAAATATTAGTGAGATAGACACTTTTTCGAGGTTATATTTACTAAATAAAATTATTTTAGATTTTAGAGCTACTGAGCAGTTTAGCAGCACACTTCAAACCGTCAAAACCGCTAAGTTCATTTCATTCCAGTAGCTACTCCAGCGCTGAGTTTTTGAACTGTTATTTACTGCTTACAAATGACCACTTTTTCAACTATTCTACTATGTGAGTTGGTACTCCTTACATTTACACTCCATACTCCATAGTTTTAGAACTGACTAGGAGTGTCCACTCAATATGTATCGATATTTATGTTCGAACTAAAACATCGGATCCCTGCATCGATATTTATCGATATATCGCTAGAAAACGAGATTTTTTTGCACTATTGAATACTTTCCATAAATGTTTAATATTATCTTTTTCCAGTTAAACGCACAAAGTTTGTAGTCCTTGATTTTGTATGTGTGAATGCAGAATCAGATACCAGAGTAATATAGCAGCATATTTTATTTATTAATATCTATAAAGGTAGCCTTATGGATATTTTTACGCGGCTAAGCCAGTTTGATGTATTGCTACAAGATTTTATAGTTTTTTTTTTGGCAAATTTTGCATTTTAAAGAGTATAATATCCCTCAATTTTCGTAAAAACCAATCAGAAACTAAAAGGAATTTAAGCTTTTTAGTTATAGCTGCAATATGTAATTACTAAAATTCCAATAATCTTTATTGAATAATCACTATTTATAAATTTTAAATAAAAAATATAATTTCATCTTCCATAATTTATTATTCAAGAAATTGACATTAAAATCCATACATGACTTTTTATGGAGGCGCCATCTTGTAGTTAACTAAGAAAGAACAAATCAATTAATGTTTATTTTTTTCGATAATTTCATTTTGTGTCTGTAGTATCATATCGTCGTAAGGTCGACACTGAGATCGATTAATCAAGGAATCGATTTCTTGTGCCAAAAGTTCGAAGATTTTTAATCAATTTATAGTACTGAATCGATCCAATGAATCTATGTTTCACCCTAGAAAATTTAAATCGAATCTTTTTCTGTTTTTATAGGAACTATAAAATTATTTACAATTAGTTAAATGTACCTAAACTCGTAAAAATCGACAGTTTTTCTATTCAAAAACTAGCAAAACTGCTGTGCTGTTTCAGTTCCCTCTTCTTAATGGGTTAAAGAAATAAAAAATTGAGTTACGTTTGTAATCTGTATTTTGTAAGAATTTGAAAGCAAATCGAAAAAAGATCGATTTTTGAGAAATAGATCTTTTAGACCTCGATTTTTGTGAATCGATTCATAAGATTTCAATTCAAATCGATCTTTTTCGGAAAGAATCGACATACCTACTAAACAGCAGAAGACGACGCAAGGAGAGTGAGAGTAAGCGAAAGTAAATATATTGAACCAATAGAATCCACAGACTACATACATTGAGAGTGAATGGTCAATCGATCTGTCAGGATAGATTAGGTAATTAAGCTGGTCACTCACAGATGTCACTATCTTAATAAACCTTATTTAAAATTGAAGTCATCAAGAAGTGTTAAAATTACTTAGCTTTCTATAAATAAATTTGTCAAAACATCGATTCCATCCGATATCTATCTACGCCTAGAACTGACATAATGACATTTATGTTCACCATAGATAAGAGTGTATATACCGGAGAGAATGATATACTATATAGGTACGGAAATGTTCACAAAGAGGGCAGGGCATAGATTACTGACTATGTACTAGAGATAGAGAGGGCAGGGGCACAAGCAGTATTAGTGTTCTGTGCACAAGGGGTGATAACAACAAATTCAAAGTTCAAACAACAGTATTGAATTACTCATTTTATTAAATAGGAATTCAAACGTAATTTGACTGTGTAAATTTTTTTCCAATAAGCTGATATGTCCTCATTTCTTTGCTTCATATGTCACAGTACAGTAAATTGTGAAAGTAATGAAGAAACAAGAGAGAGATACAGAGAAGTCGTAGGGATGAATGTTGGTAAAGCAAATAATCTTAACTTGTAACATTCTTATTTTGTTTATATCGATACAAAAAAAGGAAAAATATACGCTAAAATTATTAAATGTCGTCTTTTTCCCTCCCTAAATTTACATACATTGCATTATCTTTGTCTCATCACTCTATTGTTCTTCGTATAAAAGGTATGTCAACCACACACTAGGATTTTCTCCTCTATCTTGGAGGCAACTTACAAACATAAATTACACAAGGACAAACATACAAATCTGAAACAGTTGTATGTAAGAAAAATACTGGTTCTGGATTCGAACCCGCGGCAACTCAATGCTAAGCCACGGAACCGTCAATTTCTATTGTGATCTGATCTGATCTTCCTTAACTGTTACCACTTGCCACCAAGCATTATGTTAAACCTTTTGCATCATTACTGTGAGTAAAAACTGTAGTGAATGTTAAAGATGTTAAGACCGCTTAGTGGTCATCCGCCGCAGAATCTACATCACCTGAGGATGCCTCATGCAGAGGCGAAACATGTATTATTGTCGATGGTGTGTCTTTCCTAGAGTAGTGGTGTTGGGATTAGTGCACACAACTGAGGTAGGGCGGGAGATGCTCTTCAAACTAGGTAAGACACATCATTTTATTTTATTGAGTGGATGGTTGTGAAATAACTCTTAACATCTTTAATATAATGGGTTTCCACTATGTAATGCCTGATTCTATTAATTATGTAGTGAATGTATTGAAACATTCTGTCTCCAGAAGAGACATCAATAAACTTTCATTTCATTCATTACGGCCCTTCAGTTGTCCACTGCTGAATATAGACCTAGCCGCATCGATTGCCTTGTAGGGATTTGCCAAAGCTGCCATGCTTGGGTTGGTAGTTTTTTTTTAATTCTTGTTCATTATTGTTTTTCTTCAGTTTTTTTTTAAATTATTTTTGGGTATTATCAGGAGTTAATCTACCTACCGACCCACATGCCAAGTATGGCAAATACCACTTCAATGAGATAATCTATGAGAATTCCTTTGTTCAGAAGGGGACCGCTAACTGTCCGGACTGCGGATAATCTGTAACAGTATCAGGAATCAAGATAAGACTGCCCATTGCCTGTTTCATGATGCCTCTGTGGGCTCTTAGGACACCCTGAAGCTATCTTCAATTATGCTTTATTTTTATTTTTATAGGATGTGGGTGACAAATGAGCACACAGTCCACCTGATGGTAAGTGGATGGAATGGAAGACATCTACATTTATCCTCGATTAAGAATTGAAATGCAGATGCATTGCCAGTCTTGAGGAGTTAGATAAAATTCTTCGTTTCCAGTAAAAAGGGTCTCCGGTTCTCTACACTTAACTTACACTTAAAATTTATTTGTTAATGTATTAGTGAAATAAAGCATTGTTATTAGGTATTATTATTTTACGCTGGTATTCTGTGAGAGCTTGGTCCTTCCCTAAGAGTCGACCCATTCATACTACAACCATAATATAGCTGTATCGTGGCTCTACCAGATGTAGAAAAGATAATGATGATAAAAAGCATCAAAATAATCTATTTTGATTATTTAATTATAAATTTCATAAACATTATTTTTATATTTCTCAGTTAATTAGTACTTTCATTTTTATAATGTTCTGTTTCAGTTGTGTCCAGATTCCCATCTCTGTTACATATGTTGTCATATCTTAAATAAACTCACATTGTTCAGATCGATATGCCTGAAACGAAGTTTGGAATATCCAGTGCTATTTAGGTATGTTGTTTATGTTATTTAATGTAATTCTTTTGTATCAAGGAGAGTAGATATCACCTATGTACCTATTTCTGGCAGTACCAATGTTGCCGGACTAACATTTTAAAGTAAAATGTTCAGAACATTCTTATTTTTTATCTAATTTATTATAAAGCATTCTGCTATCAATATCCTTTAAATTAATCAATGGAATAAATTTCTTATAAACGAAGAAATTCCTCTTTATTTCTTTTTAGTTTATATTTTTATTTTACAAGAAAATTGTCATAGATTCTGCTGGTGGTAATGGAGATGTTATTGTAGACTGTAGATATTTAGAAATATTTACCTTATTGCTGTAGAACAGCCACCATAGTAACGATATTGTGAACAGTACACCCACTGCTGCATTCCAGTTTTAAGAGTGAGAGCACAATTACTCAGGTTCAGAAACAACAGTGTATCTGTGACCTTTGATTGAAGTAGGTTATAAGACAGTAGATTACATTTAAAAAAAATGTATTTCACTGGGACTGAAACCCAAACCCAACTATTTGTTAGTCCTTCAGTACTCTTACCACAAAGCAACGCATTTCTCTTTAGAAGTACAGATGTTTTAAGTAACAATGGCAAGGCAAGATAAATAGCCACAACATGACCAATTTAAAATAAAAAAATAGTAAACATAGTATTAAAAATGTCATTAACTAAAAAAATTACTCACACATTTAGTTAGTACCTACACATACTTTGAAAATTTAAAGAATGTATGAGGAATATTAGTTAATCTACCTAAATATTAAACTTTACCTGCATATATATTGAATAATATTAAAAAGCGGTGTAGGAATATCCACTGCCCCATTAGGCGACATGCGTGTCGTAAGAGGCATCTAAGGAAAACTAAATCAAGAGATGGACAGTAACATCTTTCTGATACAACTCAAAAGCATAAAACTCTGTTTTTTTTTTGAATAAGGGTGACAAACGAGCACACAGTCCATATGATGGTAAGTAGATGCTGGGGCCCATAGACATCTAACATTTAACCCCGATTAAGAATCAAAACGCAGATGCGTTGTCACCCCTGGGGACTAACATGGAATGCCACGTTTCCAGTAAAAAAAGGTCTCCGGATCTCTACACTCCAGTTGTTGCCAGTCTGCTCGCCAAGCATGGCAACAATGGCAAAGTCATGGGGGGATTAATGATGAAATCTTTAGGGAGACCTATGTCCAGTAGTTGACTTTTACTATGAGGCTATAATCGATGAATGGATAGAATATTAGATTTATCTAGTAATTATTCCTAAACTACCATTAAGGATGGTGGATTCTTTTACAACAAAACTGACATAAAACTTGTTAACTTGAACCCAACCTGGATTATTGCAGCGAAAAGGGCGCATTATATTTACAAAGAAGCAATATTGAATTGCATGTACAGTGTCTGGATGAAGCATGCCAGCAAGTCGGAAACAGTAAATCATATGAAATAATCTATAAATGTGATTCAAATAATGTTAATGATAGTTATTCTGATAAAATACATGAATTTGTTAAACATGAAGAAGATAATGATTACATACATCCAAATGATTTGTCGATTGCGCCAACATCAAACGCAGAGAACTATAATGATTTTAACGAATTTGATTCTGTAGTTAATGAAAATGTATTCGAAAGCACTAAGAATGGGCCTGATAAATTTCAAAATGACGGTGATGGTAAAGATAATTACGAGATTAATGATTATAATGCGGACAATGGCCATGACGACGAAATGATCGATACTGATAATTTTAATCACGATGAAGCAGATATTGAAACTACTGATGCAATTAATTTTGATCCAAATTCGCAAAAAGACTGTATAGTTACTGATCGTATTAAAAAGCGTAAATCCAAAAAATCAAGAAAGAAAAGTTTTGATAAGATAATATTGACTTTAGAACAACAGAAGGCAGAGTTAGAAGCAAATAGAAGGGATAAGAAATATGTGGAATCTGAATTTAAATGTTATAATTGTGCGTTGGGTTTCCTGTTCAAAGACACCTACCAAGCTCATATGATGAGACATGAGGAGGTGAGTACACTTGAAGCTGATGATGTGACAGTCATTGGTTATTTCAACTAATTAATGACTGGCTGTTCCCCGCAATTTTGCTCGCGTGTAATTTAGGGTTTTAAGTTTTTTGTGCGGACCCCTAACGTTTTTTCTAAAATAAAAGTAGCCCGAGTTACACCTTATAACATTAGATATCTGTCAGTTAAACTCCTTTCAAAATCGGGCCAGCCGTTTCAATAGAACAAACAGACAGGCAGACCGACAAAAATATTAAAAATTGTGTTTTTGATATAAGTATCGTCATATACATTTAGTAAAAAGCTGTTATTTTGACAATACAAACAGACACTTCTTCAATTTTGTTTATTTGTATAGATTAATCAAATCATTTGATAAATCTAGTCATTCGAGTTTATTAGATCTTTAGTAAATTTTGGATCTTCAGTTTGGGTTTGGTGATGTAAGAATATCCAGTACCCCATATTATTCCGTGGGTCGTAGGGGTTATTTGCCGTAGTTGGCACGCCTGGTAAGCGGGTTTGCAACCGCAGTTTTTTATTTTTAGTCAACATTAGGAAGATGATGTTGCTCATCTTCTGATTGCTTTCCCTCTATCACCTCTTACGGTCGTAAGATGTGACAGAGGTTTGGTTTCCCTTTGTTATGGTCGTAAGAGGTGACAGAGGTTTGGTGGTCCCTCTGTTACGGTCGTAAGAGGTGACAGAGGTTTGGTTCCCCTCTGTTACGATCTTAAGAGGTTACAGAGGTTTGGTATCCCTCTGTTACGGTCGTAAGAGGTGACAGAGGTTTGGTTTCCCTTTGTTACGGTCGTAAGAGGTGACAGAAGTTTAGTTTCCCTCTGTTACGGTCGTAAGAGGTGACAGAGGTTTGGTTTCCCTCTGTTACGGTCGTAAGAGGTGACAGAGGTTTGGTTTCCCTCTGTTACGGTCGTAAGAGGTGACAGAGGTTTGGTTTCCCTTTGTTACGGTCTTAAGAGGTAACAGAGGTTTAGTTTCCCTCTGTTACGGTCTTAAGAGGTGACAGAGGTTTAGTTTCCCTCTGTTACGGTCGTGAGAGGTGACAGAGGTTTGGTTTCCCTTTTTTACGGTCGTAAGAGGTGACAGAGGTTTGGTTTTCCTCTGTTACGGTCTTAAGAGGTGACAGAGGTTTAGTTTCCCTCTGTTACGGTCGTAAGAGGTGACAGGGGTTTGGTTTCCCTTTGTTACGGTCGTAAGAGGTGACAGAGGTTTGGTTTCCCTCTGTTACGGTCTTAAGAGGTGACAGAGGTTTAGTTTCCCTCTGTTACGGTCGTAAGAGGTGACAGAGGTTTAGTTTCCCTCTGTTACGGTCGTAAGAGGTGACAGAGGTTTAGTTTCCCTCTGTTACGGTCGTAAGATGTGACAGAGGGGTTTGGTTCCCCTCTATTACAGTCTTAAGAGGTGACAGAGGTTTAGTTTCCCTCTGTTACGGTCGTAAGAGGTGACAGGGGTTTGGTTTCCTTTTGTTAGGGTCGTAAGTGGTGACAGAGGTTTGGTTTCCCTCTGTTACGGTCGTAAGAGGTGACAGAGGTTTAGTTTCCCTCTGTTACGGTCGTAAGAGGTGACAGAGGTTTAGTGTTCCCTCTGTTACGGTCGTAAGAGGTGACAGAGGTTTGGTTTCCCTCTGTTACGGTCGTAAGAGGTGACAGAGGTTTGGTTTCCCTCTGTTACGGTTGTAAGAGGTGACAGAGGTTTGGTTTCCCTCTGTTACGGTCGTAAGAGGTGACAGAGGTTCGGTTTCCCTTCGTTACGGTCGTAAGAGGTGACAGAGGTTTGGTTTCCCTCTGTTACGGTCGTAAGAGGTGACAGAGGTTTGGTTTTCCTCTGTTACGGTCGTAAGAGGTGACAGAGGTTTGGTTTTCCTCTGTTACGGTCGTAAGAGGTGACAGAGGTTTGGTTTCCCTCTGTTACGGTCGTAAGAGGTGACAGAGGTTTGGTTTTCCTCTGTTACGGTCGTAAGAGGTGACAGAGGTTTAGTTTCCCTCTGTTACGGTCGTAAGAGGTGACAGGGGTTTGGTTTCCCTTTGTTACGGTCGTAAGAGGTGACAGAGGTTTGGTTTCCCTCTGTTACGGTCTTAAGAGGTGACAGAGGTTTAGTTTCCCTCTGTTACGGTCGTAAGAGGTGACAGAGGTTTAGTTTCCCTCTGTTACGGTCGTAAGAGGTGACAGAGGTTTAGTTTCCCTCTGTTACGGTCGTAAGAGGTGACAAAGGTTTGGTTCCCCTCTGTTACGGTCTTAAGAGGTGACAGAGGTTTAGTTTCCCTCTGTTACGGTCGTAAGAGGTGACAGGGGTTTGGTTTCCCTTTGTTACGGTCGTAAGAGGTGACAGAGGTTTGGTTTCCCTCTGTTACGGTCGTAAGAGGTGACAGAGGTTTGGTTTCCCTCTGTTACGGTCGTAAGAGGTGACAGAGGTTTGGTTTCCCTCTGTTACGGTCGTAAGAGGTGACAGAGGTTTGGTTTCCCTCTGTTACGGTCGTAAGAGGTGACAGAGGTTTGGTTTCCCTTCGTTACGGTCGTAAGAGGTGACAGAGGTTTGGTTTCCCTCTGTTACGGTCGTAAGAGGTGACAGAGGTTTGGTTTTCCTCTGTTACGGTCGTAAGAGGTGACAGAGGTTTGGTTTTCCTCTGTTACGGTCGTAAGAGGTGACAGAGGTTTGGTTTCCCTCTGTTACGGTCGTAAGAGGTGACAGAGGTTTGGTTTTCCTCTGTTACGGTCGTAAGAGGTGACAGAGGTTTGGTTTCCCTCTGTTACGGTCGTAAGAGATAACAGAGGTTTGGTTTTCCTCTGTTACGGTCGTAAGAGGTGACAGAGGTTTGGTTTTCCTCTGTTACGGTCGTAAGAGGTGACACAGGTTTGGTTTTCCTCTGTTACGGTCGTAAGAGGTGACAGAGGTTTGGATTCCCTCTGTTACGGTCGTAAGAGGTGACAGAGGTTTGGTTTTCCTCTGTTACGATCGTAAGAGGTGACAGAGGTTTGGTTTTCCTCTGTTACGGTCGTAAGAGGTGACAGAGGTTTGGTTTGCCTCTGTTACGTTCGTAAGAGGTGACAGAGGTTTGGTTTTCCTCTGTTACGGTCGTAAGAGGTGACAGAGGTTTGGTTTTCCTCTGTTACGGTCGTAAGAGGTGACAGAGGTTTGGTTTTCTCCTCTGTTACGGTCGTAAGAGGTGACAGAGGTTTGGTTTCCCTCTGTTACGGTCGTAAGAGGTGACAGAGGTTTGGTTTCCCTCTGTTACGGTCGTAAAAGGTGATAGAGGTTTGGTTTCCCTCTGTTACGGTCGTAAGAGGTGACAGAGGTTTGGTTTCCCTCTGTTACGGTCGTAAGAGGTGACAGAGGTTTGGTTTTCCTCTGTTACGGTCGAAAGAGGTGACAGAGGTTTGGTTTCCCTCTGTTACGGTCGTAAGAGGTGACAGAGGTTTGGTTTTCCTCTGTTACGGTCGCAAGAGGTGACAGAGGTTTGGTTTCCCTCTGTTACGGTCGTAAGAGATAACAGAGGTTTGGTTTTCCTCTGTTACGGTCGTAAGAGGTGACAGAGGTTTGGTTTTCCTCTGTTACGGTCGTAAGAGGTGACAGAGGTTTGGTTTTCCTCTGTTACGGTCGTAAGAGGTGACAGAGGTTTGAATTCCCTCTGTTACGGTCGTAAGAGGTGACAGAGGTTTGGTTTCCCTCTGTTACGGTCGTAAGAGGTGACAGAGGTTTGGTTTTCCTCTGTTACGGTCGTAAGAGATGACAGAGGTTTGGTTTCCCTCTGTTACGGTCGTAAGAGGTGACAGAGGTTTGGTTTTCCTCTGTTACGGTCGTAAGAGGTGACAGAGGTTTGGTTTTCCTCTGTTACGGTCGTAAGAGGTGACAGAGGTTTGGTTTCCCTCTGTTACGGTCGTAAGAGGTGACAGAGGTTTGGTTTCCCTCTGTTACGGTCGTAAGAAGTGACAGAGGTTTGGTTTTCCTCTGTTACGGTCGTAAGAGGTGACAGAGGTTTGGTTTCCCTCTGTTACGGTCGTAAGAGGTGACAGAGGTTTGGTTTCCCTCTGTTACGGTCGTAAGAGGTGACAGAGGGGCCATCATGGGCCTCTTCCTATAATGATTATAACAAATAACTAACCCCTTATCCCCCTATAGCTATCAGATAGCCTATGATAGCAGTGGACTTTAGTAGCTTTTTTTTTAAAGAATATTAACAATGCTATAAACATTACTAATATTCCCCTTAACCACTCGTGGTAAGCTTAAATTGCTTGTGTTACGAGTGGTTCACGCCAGTAGTCGAATGGCGGATTCGAACCCACGACCTTTTTGAGTTCGCGGTCCGCGCCCTGCCGTTAGGCTACTGTCGCTTCAACTGTAATGGTAAAGCTTGGGTAATTTTTATTATTAATATATTTTCTTCTTCGTCTATTTTATCAGGCCATATTAATTGTAAGAGAAGCTTGCCTTAACCACCGCAGCTTGGGGTTGTTAAACGTTATGTCATATACAAGGTTTCTTTTCTGTCTAGACGTCCATCTGAGCAGTTATCAGCCTATTAAAAATACAGTTATCTATCTATTTAGCAGGGATGGGAGATTTGATAAGGATATAGAACGACGAGTGAACGCAGAAAATAAATGGGGCTCTACACTCTGTTGTGGAAAGTTGGAATGTGTCAAAAAAGGCACGAATGGCAATTCACAATGCGGTGTTAGTCCCTACTTTAACATATGATAGTGAAAGTTGGGTGTGGTAGAAGAAGCATGAAAGTAGAATAAATGCAGAAGAAATGCGGTCGCTAAGGAGTATGTTAGGGCTGAATCTGAGTGACAGGGTGAGAAATTGTGTGATAAAAGAAAATTGTGGTTTGCAAAAAGATGTTGTGACCAGGATTAAGAAAGGAATGCTTCGGTGTTTTGGTCATGTAGAAAGAATGAATATGGAAAGAGTGACAAAGCAAACTTATGTTTCGGAAGTGAACGAAAGAGTCGGAAAGGGACGTCCTAGGCGAAAGTTTATAGACCAAATTGGCGATATATTGAAAATGGGCCAAATTAAGAGGTACCCTTAACTGACAAGCATGTATGCATACATATATGGATGTAAAGGAGGCGAGAGGGGTATATCAGGATCGTGCTAAATGGAAGTCTGTAGTCTCTGCCTACCCCTTTGGGTGACAGGCGTGAGTGTTTATGTTATGTTATTATCTATCTAAGGTGAGCTTTGGAGGTGGCTGGACCGTCTTATACCAAATTCCTTTTTCTTTTGATCTCCTATCGGAGTAACCATCCCACAATAAATAAGCGATGAGCTTGCGAAGGGCTTTATCGATAATGATGACGATGTTTTGATTACAGTCAAACGGAGAATACCGATGTACGCTATGCACCCTTCGCTTCGCAAGTCCGTCGGTGCTTCGCTCGCACGTTTCGCTTCATTCGGAGCGCTACCGCTGCGTTGTCTGCGAAGCGTTACTTCGGCCGAGAGCCCGAGTGAAGCATTCCAAGGAATGCCTACGTAGGGACGCCGCTGATAATGTCGCGTGCCACTTGTGCGCTAAACTGTTTAAGTAAGCAGTCCGAACGTTTAGTTGCGGTGTAAGAATATCCACACTTTTTACTGGAACCAAGCACTTAAAGAATACCAGAGTAATATTGTAGCTTATTTTTGCTGTGTTTCGTATGATGAGTGTAGAGAACAGGAGACCCTTTTTACTGGAAACGAGACATTCCATCCTAGTTCTCAAGGGTGATATCGCATCTGCATTTTGATTCTTAACCAAGGATAGATGTACAGGTCATAGTGCCTCCTTGCCATCAGGGGACTGTGTGCTAGTTTGTCAGCCTTATATACTTACACTATTGAAAAAGTGGAATTTTTAATATTATACTATTAAAAATTCCACTAACCTCTATCAGGAATGGCGACGGGGAAAAAAAACAGGAGATGGGCAGTAGCGTCTAATTACTTGACGTCTCATCATAGTTCTTTTTTTTATAAGGGTAACATAAATGAATGAATGAATAAATATACTTTATTGTACACCACAAACAAATTTACAAAGAACATAACAAAGAGCCAATTACGTGTACAATTTGGCGACCTTATCGCTACATAGCGATCTCTTCCAGGCAAGTGTGAAGGAATCAAACAGTGAATACTAGGTAGCTGGTGCAATATAAATATACTTAATATAATATCAATACATGCAATAAAATAACATATAAATAACTAATACACAAAAAATATGATACACATTTGTATATACATAAACACACACAAGGTAATGCCAGGTCAGTTCAGTTTGCAGATCACTTCCAGTCCAAATAATGCCAGATCAGTTAAGTTTGCAGGTCGATTCCGGTCCAAAAAGCCAAGGCAAAAGTCGATAGTATGTACGAGAGCCACGTAAGTTGAATTGGGAACGGTGCGCAGTAAACAAAAGAGCAGAGCGTACTGAACTGACTTGCTGAGAGTAATAACAGCGTAAATATCTATCTATCTATCTCTCTCTAACATCTAAGATATTAATGCCCCATTCAAATTCCTAGAAATTGTAACAAGAACCCATTTTGGGCATGTAGTAAAAATGATTACTGACAATTATAATTTAAGGAATTTGGCCCCTGTTTAGAAATAATAGGCCCATATTTTTTTATAACTTGTATTCCTAGAGTATTATACCATTTTGGAATGTTGGTTAGTTGCGTCAATTTTTAAAAAAAAACCTGCCATACTAGTGTTCATACTTTTTTTACACCACGATAAGTTAAATTTGGTTAAAAGTAAAAGTTTTCAAAAAATTTAGGGAATAAAATAAGTTCCATTAATTTTCGTGATAAAACAAGAGTTATTCTGGAGTTTTTAAGAATTGTGGTAGATAGCAGTACTATTCAGGTTGCCTATAAAAAAAAAGAAAAAAATATAAAAAAAATTGTGGTCATGGTAGTGAAAAATATCATAAACGGTCTCAATTTCTGAAGAATTTCATTTTTTTATATAACTTAAAATATAATTGGGATATATATTTTTTTCTTTTTTTCCCCGATTAGTCCGGGGCAGGTCTATCCTCCGGTGTTGGCTTATCGTTGAATTTTGGGACACGTTGTATATATATATATATATATATATATATATATATATATATATAAAATAGATAGATATCCTCAAATATATTCCTCAAACAATAACATAACACAACGGCGCACAGACATCTACATCCATACTCAATTAAAATCAAAATGCAGGTGCGTTATCGCCCTTGAGGACTAAGATGGAATGCCGTGTTTCCAGTAAAAAGGGTCTCCGGTTCTCTCACTCACCATACATACCGCAACGTAACGCAGCAGCATTTAGCTGCTATTTTCCGTTAGTATTCTACGAGAGCGTGGTCCTTTTCCATTTGTGGTTCACTCGTAATATAGCAGCAACATTGCGCTATCACGTGGTTAATTGTACAATTCGACTAAATACAACAAATTATTATTTTACAGGGACACTAGTGGTCTCCAGCAACATTTGAGGCGTGTCCATAGCTCGAAGACGGGCAGGATGTATCCTTGCGGTATTTGTGGGGAGACCTTCCGGAATCAGCCTGCGGTACGGACACATATGCTGTGAGAGTACCCTCATTTCTTTCGTTCTCATATTAGAGGCATCATCATTACAGCCAAGTCCACTGCTAAACATTTTTTATATAGGAAAAGGGTGACAAGCGAGCACACAGTCCACCTGATGGTAAGTGGTTACTGTGGACTATAAACATCTACATCTATCCTCGTTCGCGAACCAAAATGAAGATGCGTTGTCAGCCTTGAGGACTATGATGGAATGCCTCTTTTCCAGTAAAAAGGGTGTCCGGTTCTCTACACTCACTATACGAAATACAGCACTATTTGACGCTGGTATTCTGTGAGAGCGTGGTCCTTCCCCGGTCGAGCCGACCTATTCGTGCTACAACCATACAATTAATATAGCTGTACCATGGCTCTACCACGTAAAATACATAACACGTAAGATAGATGTTCCTTAAATTTGCCACAAGTTAATTTTTTAATATTATTAATTAGAATATTACAAATCTAATTCCTCAGATTAAAATTAGACTTATTGGGCCTTTTTTCACTTATACCACAGTTTGGGAAAAAAACCCAAATAAAAACTCATCATTAACTTTATATGGTCCATTAAAATACATTGACCTTATTTTTTTTTTGTTACCATATACCATATTTGAGTTGTTACTAAATTTTTACTGATAACAAAGTAATCCCTCTTTGTCCTCGGGGTTGACAACATATATGTAGTGATTTTCAAATTAAGCTGATACATTGACCAGATGTACATGGACTGCAGAAACCACTAACCATCAGGTTGGTGGATTAACTTAGTTTGTCATCTCAGTTTTATGAATAAAACATATCTAAAAACGTGGTCCTTCGAGCCGGATATAAGACAGCTATTATTTGCCCTCCTTTCCTTTTTCGTGTCTCTCCTCTCTACGAAATATCAACAGCACTGCGCTGACTTTTCAACCTTAGCAATATTTAACACAAAATCATAGTTGATCCCTAAAAATACTTACAGAAAACATTTGAAGAGAAAATTCTCATGCGACCGATGTTCAGCAATCTACAGCAGCCCTTATAGTCTGATGCAGCACAAGAAACGGCATGAGGTTTGCGAAGAGACGCACTTCTGCACATCTTGTGGCACCAGCTACAGCAGCCGTAAGGGACTTCTCGCTCACAGAAGGAACAGCCTCAATCACCAGCAGACTGTGTTAGTTGACACAGCTTAAGATAATAATATCCTCCAGACCGAATTTCGGTCACGGCGGCCAACCTCAATGGAGACTAGCCATCGGCGTAGGACAGGATTATAGTGCACGAGTGTATGCGCAAGCACAGGTGCACTCTATACCCTCACTCACATAGTCCGATTTGATGGTAATCCGACGCGACCGGAGTAATTAGGCGTAGGGCCTACAACTTTATGTGTTTCCTGGGACACGGGGTTGAAAACACGGCAACTTTTTGACTGGGCTTTTACTGAGAAATTTTTATCAGAAAAACCCAATAACTCATTTTGGCCGGAGTCTGAATTTGAATCTGGGACCTCATGATCAGCGATCATGTTTATGACCACTAGACCAACGAGGCAGTCAAGTACAAGAATGCAAATGATGTATGGTAGGGAGGGGCGTAAGAGAATCGTAAGAGAATGAGTTGGCTCGACCGGGGAAGGACCACGTCCTCACAGAATATCAGTGTGAAGTAGCAGCTTTATGTTACTGTGTTTTATTACGAAGGCAATCTTAATGCTTAGATGTCGGTGTACAGCGGTGAGTTTTAGAGCTGATAAAGTAGAAGACGCAAGTATACGGTAGGCTTGCGTAAAATATATCGAAATATCGATATTTTCACATAAAAAATCGATATACATATCGTAGATATTTTCAATCGGATTATATCGATATTCGATATTTATTTTAGAGTATCGAATTCGTATCAATTTCGATATATTTTAAAACGTTGTACTAATCGACAAAACATTAAACAACAAAAACAGCTACAAAAGCATTCCTGTGCTGTTGTTGTTTATTTACAGAATTAATATCATTAAAATCACCAATACAACCCTCTAAGTTCATATAATCCTTTTGAATGAGTTTTTCCTGAAAATAACCAAATAATGGGATTATACGAACATAGATGGTATCTACTTGTTACGGTCGCGAATCATATTTTCTTAAACATACAATGCAAATTGCAAAAAACGTAAGAAAATTTGTATATCGCGGGCTACCATGGCGCTTTCACCTTTAAGTAAAAAAGTGTCTATTTCAGGTTCGAGTGCAACAAATGCTCTAGAGTGTTGCCACACCGTCGCGCGTTGGAAGCGCACGAACGTAGAGTGCACGGAGACGGGACCCAGCGGGTAATCTCTAAACAACTGCGGCCTAAAACTCACAGGAGGCCAACTGAACACGCCATCTGTCATTTGTGCGGGAAAAGTTTTAAGGTAAATAAGGAAACGTGGTAGATCCACGCTATGGAGATGAATGGCACGAATGGGTCGGCCCGATCGGGGAGGAACTACGCCCTATTGGAATACCTTTGTAAAATAGCAGCTTAATGCTGCTGTGTTTCGTGTCGAGTGTAGAGAACCGGGTACCCGTTTTACTGAAAACGATCTATCTTCCATCTTAGTCGTAGATGTGAATGCGTATGGTAACCACTTACCATCAGGTGGACTGTGTGCTAGTTTGTCACCCTTAATATATTTAAAAAAATGACCCTTGCCCTCGCAGCACCGCAGCCAAATGTTATATCAATTTTTAAGTTCAAGGATATATGGAGATTTGTTCACACGACACCCTGGACTGGTGGGTGAGTGAGGATGCTGCAAATTTATTTAGTCCAGATATCACATTCTTTACAGCCTATGAAAACCTTTCCATAGATTGGCCTCACCAAGAGGATTTTACCAAAGTTGCCACGCTTGGCAGGCTATCATCAGACTATTTTGAGTTGTTATCAAACTGTCGACTCTTACGACACCCATGTGATGGGCTAGTGGGTATTCTTACACCGCCACTGTACTGTTTATATATTATAACATCTTCACATAAGAGGAAATTCTAGTGCGAGGTAACATTTGTAAAATACTAAAAATTACATGTTCGCACCTTTCTGCTTTCTCCAGGGCAACAGCAAACTCAACAGGCATCTCAAAGAAGTCTGCGAGAAAGAGAAACTACCAGAAGAAATATCTCCATTTTACGAATAAAAATGTTTCAGCCTCGATTTGTTTTTCTATCCGTACAAATTCATTTTCTTGTGTTAGAAGGCAATTACTTCCCTCGTATCGTGTCGTATGGTAAGAGAAGACGTAAGGGGAAAATCTCAAGGTGTTGTCTCCAACAGATGACATGGTAGCAGACCGTAACTATTAGACTACTAGATAGATTTTAGATATTATTAGATATAGAAAAAATATTAAGGTGAATCTTAATCCCTTTTCAACCTCCAACGAAAACAGAGGTGTGTTATAGGTTTGTAATGCGTAAATTTTTTTGTAGTGTTAAATATATATACAATATGTAACGTAATTAACGCACACCCTCAGACACCCCAATTAGTATATTATGTTATAATCATAATAAATACACTGATTTTTAGTTAAACATTTTTATGCACTGATATTTATCAAATTAGTTATACTAATTCCGGATGAATGTTGCGGTCACAGTACAAATCCACGAACGCAAAGACTTTAACGTGCTTGAAATAAAGTTATCTTGAAGAAAAAAAACTTATTCCTAAATTAAGGGCCTTTTTTGCATTTTATTTTTCTTTATTTGTATTGAATGACAGAATTAGTAATAATACAAATAAAACTGCACTCTTAAAAGTCTTATTGCCTTAAGTTACGGTCCATTTCAGTTTGTTTTGACTGTACAGATTTAGTTGAACAAAACCAAAACTTACAAAGCCAATTTTTGACTGGATAGTATTTTTAAAAAGAAAAACAAAAAAACTGCACTCTTAAAAGTCTATCATTTTTTTTTTTATTATATTTTATTATAAGGAAAGAAATAATAATAAAAAAAATAAAACATCAAATATTGTTATTAGTTAAGGCCCATTTCATTTTTTTTTTTTTTTAAAAGTTATTTTTTTTTTTTTATTAATAATAAAAATATAAAATAATTTACGTAGTTTTAATTATTTTTGGGATAAAAATTACCTATATTAAAAATGATAGGAATCGATTCAGTAAACTATTCTGAGCAAACTACTTTCTCAAAGTGCGTTAATTATGTTACGTGTTGTATATACTATAGAGCGGCATTGGGAAGATTTGCATTCAAAAACTGAGCACGCGTTATGTTAAGCCCTCTAGCGAAAAATAGCAATACTACGCTGAATATTTACTTGGAAAACATTTTAGCTATTTCCCATTAAATGACGCTATAAGGTAAAAATCGGTTTTAGGCACGTCATCAATTGCTAACATATTTGTAAATAAACGTTTGACGTTACTGGATAACAGGGCACTTATTACAATAATTTTTCTTTCTTCTAGATTCTAGAACAATGTATCAGAAATAATAAAATTTAAAGATTATTTTGTAAATATACATTATTCTTAGTAAATACACATTATTATAAACTGAAATCATGTTCATTTTTTTTTGCTCCATATCTTGACTTACTATACCTTAATCCACAACCGGGCATATTTTCTTTAAAATATTTTTTTTAATTATGAAACGAGTGCGTCTTGATCTTTCGGTGAGGTCACTTAGACTAAATGACAAAAATCGGAGATATATACTATAGGATAACAATATACAATAATTAATAAATTTCTAGACATTACTAGAATAAAATTAAAATATTTATATAACTATTCTTACATATAACCAAAACCATGTTCATTTTCTCTCCATATCTCTACATACCATCACTATCACATATTCATAAAAATATTGTTCAAATGAAAAAATACTCTACCTTTTACGACTCACACACAAAACAGAATATCCATAGGACAAAAGTTACAGACGATAATTTTGTTGCCGATGTCCGGTCTATTACTACTACATACTTAAATGTCTTTGGTTAATATCTGTGTTTAGAGTCACCAGCCAATCATATGCATTAGTAGAAAGGCTCAATCTAGAGTTGTGTTGCCGGGATGCCGTCCGAAGACCAGACTTTTTATCAAAATTCAGAATTTCTAACTTACTGCAACCGGATTCCTAATTTTAGACCCGGGTAACCCTGGTCTTATCTACTCTGACGGACTTCGAAATCATAGTGTTTATGATGGGTATGTTCCGAAATAGAATCCAATATACTGGCTAATGCAAATGATACGTCATAAATCGACGCCGTACTGGTAATTCGTTATATACAAAGATATTTAAATATACATTGGGAACATTTATATACAAAAACTGTTAGCTTGCGCGTGTGTTACGCGCTCTAGCGAAACAGCAATACTAAGCTGAATATTTGTTTGGAAAACATTTTAGTAATTTCCCATTAGGCGACGCTACTAAATATAAGGTAAAAATCAGTGTTAGGCACGTCGTCAAGAACTAACACATTGATAAATAAATAGTGACGTTATTGGTTAACAGAGGGCGCTTATTACAATAATTAATAAATGTTCTAGAACAATATACTAGGAATAATAAAATTTAAAGATTATTTAATAAATATACAATATTCTTACGATAATTAACCAAAACCACGTTCATTTTCTGCTCCATATCGTGACTTACAATACCCTAATGCACTATCGGACATATTTTCATTAAAAATATTGTTTCAATTTATGAAACAAATGCGTCTTGACCTTTTTACGACGTCACTTAGACTAAATGACAAAAATCGGAGATATATCTTATAGGACAAAAGTTACAGACGATAATTTTGTTGCTAATGTCCGGTGTATTACTACTACTTAAATGTCTTTGGTTATATTGAATATAGCGTCAATTAACGTCGTCATTCGCATTCGCCAGTATACTGGTAACATTTCGGAACATACCAAGTGAAATAACCATTTTAAGTTTGCATATTTTTATTAATAAAAATCAATTTAATGTTTGCACTACTACAAATGCTATGGAGTAATTTAATCATATTTACACAAGAGTGAAATACAATATTTTCGTTTTTTAGTCTAAATGCCATTATTTTCTTTCATCCCCATTACTATTACCGTTACAACCTTGAGTCCACTGCTGAACATAGGCCTCCCCCATAGATTGCCTCATAGAGTGGAGGGGGATACCCTCCCGCCCATCTCCTGGTTTTCCCCTCTGTCGCCTCATACGGAAAATCTTTCATTAGAATTAACAATTTCCAAATTGTCTTCTGCAAATCATTCCGATTCTCCATTTACACTGTCATCATCTGAATCAGTGTCCAACATCACTGTTGTTACATCAGGTTTTCCTATCATACCACGATCAGAACTGAACTGATATTCCTCGACCGGCTCTTCATTTTCCTTTTCCAAGAACCTCTGGTAGCATTTGGATGATTTAAAAACATTCGATATAGCTGCTTCCATTTCAATATCCTTCTCTATTTCCGCGTCCAACTGTGCTTGCAGTGTATTCAGGTCGCTTTCATCTGCTTCATTACCTTCATCGAGGTTTATAATGTCATCATCACTGTCTGACATAATCTGAATAATCTTCTCATCTTCTAGTCCATTCATAAATATTGCTAAATTATTCTCTGAAAATACAAAGTTAGTTGAAGTATATAACTACTGGCGATCAGTGGAGCACTTTACCACGTGCTCGGCGGAGAAGGAAAACATCGTGAGGAAAAATGCATGTCTGTGAAATAAGAAAAAGAAATATTTCGAAGACATGTGAAGTTCGCCAACACGCATTGGGGCAACGCGGCAAACATTTCCTTGCCCCAAAACATCTCTCAGAAATGAGAGGAGTGAATGTGGGAACGTGTCCAGCAGTGGAACGTATATAGGCTGTAACTTTAACTAGCGATTTGGACCGGCTCGATTTCCATGTCCCCGCCCCGCTCCCCCCTAAAGTAGTTTATTTGAAGTTTTGATTTACCATTCACTTTTATGTGAACATTCTATACCAATACGCAAATTTCAGGTCTGTAAGTCATTGTGTCTATGAGTTAGAGATTGCGTGGACATACATACGGAAGTACATTTGCGATAGTCATGTTATTATCTAGATTTTTTATAAAATCTCGTGTTTGAGAATAATGGAGCAATAACGCCGATATTCCAATCCAGTGCGTTGCTGGATTTTATATGTTTTCGAAATATTTTTATTCCATGCATATGATATGCTCGGCGCTGAAATTTAAAAATTTCATTTTTGAATATATTTTCCTTCGCCGCCGAGCACGTGGAAAATCAGTATTTAAAATTGCTTTTAAATAAAAGTAGTTCTTGCAGAATTTATCGGGTGTATTAAGTTGCGAAATTAATACACACTAAAATCTAGTTAACCTAATAATAAAATTCATAAAATATATTTTTATTTAAATGTGTAGATTACGCCTAAACATATTATGACGTCATTACTTAAAATTGCATTAAACGATTTCATTGGTGCCGACGCGAATCGAACTCCTAACCTAAAGTAATAACATAACTACATCATACATATACAACATGTAACATAATTATACGCACGCATATACGCACTTTGAGAAAGTAGTTTGTTCAGAATCGTTTACTGAATCAATTCCTATCATTTTTAATATAGGTAATTTTTTATCCCAAAAATAATTAAAACTACGTAAATTACAGTCACACTAAATCTGTACAGTCAAAACAAACTGAAATGGACCGTAACTTAAGGCAATAAAACGATTAAGAGTGCAGTTTTATTTATATTATTACTAATTCTGTCATTCAATAAAAATAAAGAAAAAATGAACTCTATTTCAGGCACGTTAAAGTCTTTGCGTTCGTGGATTTGTACTGTGACCACAACATTCATCCGGAATTAGTATAACTAATTTGATAAATAATCAGTGCATAAAAATGTTTAACTAAAAATTCAGTGTATGTATTATGATTAAAACATAATATACTAATTGGGGTGTCTGAGGGTATGCGTTAATTACGTTACATATTGTATATATAGTATAATGGTGACAAACGGGCACACAATCCACCTGATGGTAAGTGGATGCTGTGGCCCATAGACATCTACATTTAACCTCGATTAAGATTCAAAATCCATATGCATTGTCACCCGTGAGAACTAAGATGGAACGCCTCGATTCCAGTTAAAAGGGTCTCCGGTGCTCTATAGTCACCATACGAAGCAATAGCAGCTTAATGCTGCTATGTTTCGTATGGTGTAAGTTGGTATTCTGTGAGAGCTTGGTCCTGCCCCGGTCGAGCCGACCCATTTGTGCTACTAAGAGTGATACTACGAACATCATCCCATTACCATTATAATCTATGTAAGTACATTGTTGAACATATAGACCTCACCCTTAGAGTGCCTCAAAGGGGTGATATCTGCCGTAGTTGCCACGCTGGGTAAGCGGGTTTGCAATCGCATTTTTTTTATTTTCAATCATTGTCAGGAAGATTACGTTGCCCATCTTATTTGGTTCCCTCTGTCGCTTTTTACAACACTCACAGATTTTTTTTAATATTGTAGACGAAGGGTGACGAACAAGCACAGTCCAAGTGATGGTAAGTGGATGCTGTAGTCCATAGACATCTACATCTATCCTCGATTAACAATCAAAACTCAGATGCGTTGTCACCCGTGAGGACTATGATTGAATGCCTCGCTCGTTTCCAATAAAAAAGGGTCTTCGGATCTATACACTCACCATACGAAAACACAGCAGTATTAAGCTGCTATTTTATGCTAGTATTCTTTCTTCTTTCTAGTTGAACCGACCCATTCGTGCTACAACCATAATATAGCTGCAGCGTGACTCTACCATATGGGGTAGTGGACATCTTTACACCGCCACTATACATGGTAAACAGCATCATAGTAAAATACAAATTGGCAATATCAGTAGTACATGTTGTATGTATATGTTGTATGACTTTTTAGTCAAAATTCAATAAAAGTTAATAAACTACTCGTCAAGAAATACACGAATTTTGAAATTCAGGAATACAAAGGAATATGTTATAATGGACTAAATGCTGTCCCGGCATCACCGGACATCAATGGCGTTTCACAACGCTCCGTCCTAAAACGGTGGTAAGGGTATCTATTGATCTATAAAATTTTTCATTATAAACTCACTAGGTACATTAATGATTGTTGCGCACTCCACAATTTCACCAGTAACACATTTTAACGGTAGCAACATCTGCAAATAAATACATCTGCATTAAAAAAAATTATAGAAAAGGGGTGACAAATGAGCACACAGTCCACCGATGATGATGATGATGGTAAGTAGATGCTATGACCCATAGATATTTTTTTTATTTCTTTAAAAAAACATTACCTCCACACTAGGATTTTCTCCTGTATCGTGGGGGCAGTTTACCAACGTAAATTTCACAAGGACAAACATCCAGACCCGAAACAATTACTTGTAGACCATACGAATACTTGTTCCATGCGGGATTCGAACCCGCGGCCCTTAGCATTATAACTCGTTGCTAAGCCACTGCGCCACGGAGCCGTCAAATATACATTTATCCTCCATTAAGAGTCAAAATGCAGATGAGTTGCCACCCCTGAGAATTAAGATGGAATGCCCCTTTTCAAGTAAAAATGTCTCCGGTTCTCTACACTCACCATACGAAACACAGCAGTATTAAGCTACTATTTGACGCTGATATTCTGTGAGAGTGTGGTCCTTCCCCGGTCGAGCCGACCCATTCGTGCTACAACCATAATATAGCTGCAGCGTGGCTCTACCATGTATCAAATTGCTAACAAATTAAAGAATCTACTGCAAGTTTCAAGCACACAACAAGCAAGTTTAGGGGCCGCAAAACCGTAGCTATATTAGAAAAAACGGTTTGAGAGTTCATTTTACTACGAAACATGTTTACCGGTCATTTCGGTTATTTCTATTTTTCATTAAGAATTATAGCTTTATTCTGTTAATTATATCCTCAACCGAATCCTGGTCAGAATTTCGGTCACGGCTGCCAGACACAATCGAAATAAGTGTCTTTTATTAACTTGAGGTGGATATTCGCATTTTATTTATAGGTTAGGATAACAAACTAGCACATAATCCACCTGATGGTAAGTGGTTGCTGCGGCCCATAGACATCTACATCTATCCTCGATTACAAATCAAAATGAAGATGCGTTGTCACCCGTGAGCACTAAGATGGAATGCCTCGTTTCCAGTAAAAAGGGTCTCCGGTTCTCTACACTCACCATACGAAACACAGCAGCATTAAGCTACTATTTTACGCTGGTATTCTGTGAGAGCGTGGTCCTTCCCCGGTCGAGCAGACCCATTCGTGCTACAACTATACTACTAATATAACTGCAGCATGGCTCTACCACGTATAAACGCCCTTAGGAATTAGGACATGCCCTTAGGACAAGAAAAACAAACCCATTTTTTTAAATTTTGTCCGTATGCCTGTTCAGGTTAATGTTTGAGAATCGACTGTACTGAAACTCAATGAACATATGGAGAACAACACCAAGAGAGATCTAAAGTCTAGAGCTGTATTTTATCCAAATAACTTTAATATAGTTTTCTTTTGGTTTAATCGAAAAATGGTCTTTGATGATTACTAAAAACAAGTGGTGAAATTAAAAATTTTGTACAACCAACTCGTATATACAACACGTAACATAATTAACGCACTTTGAGAAAGTAGTTTGTTCAGAATCGTTTACTAAATCGATTCCTATCATTTTTAATATAGGTAATTTTTTATCCCAAAAATAATTAAAACTACATAAATATCTGTACAGTCAAAACAAACTGAAATGGACCTTAACTTAAGGCAATAAGACTATTAAGAGTGCAGTTTTATTTGTATTATTACTAATTCTATCATTCAATAAAAATAAAGAAAAATGAACTTTATTTCAAGCACGTTAAAGTCTTTGCGTTCGAGGATTTGTACTGTGACCGCAACATTCTTCCGGAATTAGTATAACTAATTTGATAAATAATCAGTGCATAAAAATGTTTAACTAAAAATTCAGTGTATGTATTATGATTATAACATAATATACTAATTGGGGTGTCTGAAGGTGTGCGTTAATTACGTTACATATTGTATAAATAAATTGAGAACATCGTCAACGTATTTTATTTTGAAGCCGATTAAATACGCATTATTAAGGATAAATCAAAAACTATTGGTCAGATCGTGATCTAATTTACATGGGTCCACACAAGAAGCAACAGCTTTCAAATAAAAAAAACAATCATCAAAATCGGTTTACCCATAAAAAACGTACTATCGAATTGAGTACCTTCTCCTTTTGGAAGTCAGTTAATAACGCCGCATTAAGCTCTAGAAGAAGCCGGGGCGCATCTTTAGTATAAAATTCTCCATAAATAGCCTTATTGCCTATTTGCCATACTTGGCACGCGGTTTGGCAGCCGCTGTGTTTTTTGGATACGCCTCTGATAGAAAGGCGTGAGTGTTTATGTATGTATAACCGTGAGTTCGCACTGACGCGATTTTCACAAAAAACATGTTTAAAACACTGTTTTCTGTCAATGTATCAAAAAGCGTTTGCATAGTCACAGAACATGTTGTGGTGAAATATGTTTGACAGTTTATTGTACATTACATATTTTAACTATACTTCATCTTTATAACTACAGAAACAAAATGTTTGATAACCAATTTGTAGAAATATTGTCATGTTGAAAGATAAGTTTGAATAACTGTTGAAAATTTTACACAGTTCTTGTGAGTGCGAACGCCACCGTCAACAAAACATGCTGTAAGATTTATTTTATGCGATTTGTTTCAAAACATTACGTTTTGGATGTTTCTCAGTGCAAACGTACTGTAATTAACTAGTATGTAGGAATAAGTGATGCAACTTACCCTTGCGCTCCATATTTTTTTCACATATTTTCCATGAAACTTCATATGACTGTTAGAATAAACGTTACTAATATGTAATACAGTCTTTCTACATTTACCGCACCAGTGTAAAAGCATATAATTCTTCGTGTGATGCAGCATATGCTCTAACAGCATACACTCACGCATTGACTCGCCACAAACAATACAGTCTGCATCCATCGTCATCTTTATGTGCATTAACTGGGTGGACCTTGTTGTGAATTTTCTAAAACAGAATTCACACTTTGTATTTTTATATCTTGCTGGGCAGTCGTGGTATTTATAAATACAATACTTTCTTTTGCAACCAGTGCATATCTTTGTTTCGATTGGAATCGGATCATCTGTACGGACTGAATGCCGTTCAGTCATATGGACGTCAAACTGTTTTTGAGTTGGACAGCATCGAAAACACACTGGACATATTTTGAATTCACTCATCTCAATACCAAGTTTTTTACATTTCATTTCCAGATATTTTTTGCATATACTCTCATGCTGCAACAATTTGGTGCATGTGATGACTTCGATATTGCAACCCTCACACTTATAGATTGCGTTTTGATGTTTGAAATTATGAAATGTGGCCGACCTGCTACATTTCCAGCAATTAGAAGAAATTTTTAGGCTCCGAGTTGATTTCGGTTGTTTACGTCTTAACTGGTCAGTACACGCTACCACGTAAAACTCATTATCTCTGAATTCCGGTTTGATATCAAGCGATTCAACGTCATGTTCCTTTATATGTTCTCTAAATGGATGCAGTCTCCACCAGCCCATTTTGCAAATATAACACATGTACAACAAAGGTGAATCTCTGAATCTCGGAGATTTATCATACCAATATTCCCATTTTTCAAGCACACCATTGATAAGTTTTTCATGATATGATGTTGGTGGTACTATATTGAATTCACCATGAAAATTCCGAATAACTACATCTAAGTATTTGTCCGCCAGGCTTGTGTTCTGTTTCGCTTGCTCCTCAATAGCTTTTAGTATAGTACTTCTTGTTAAAGTAAACTGTTGTACAGGTACGGTTCCATCGCTGACGCCCTGTGAATTTGTTGGTAAAATATTCCTTATGTAATATTTTTTTTCCTCTGAAAAAGTAATAATTTAAAATTAATTAATATTTCATCAAAATTCAAGGTTATTAGATAAAAGTAATTTTACGGATTTTCATAATGATTTCTTATATTTACGTGAACACTACACATGATTAAAACTACTTTTACGGATTTTATCGCGTTTATTTTTGCTTTTAATTACTTTTATTTTTAATTCCCGACGTTTCGGGCGCTTTCCAGCACCCATGGTCACGGGGGACTGAGATGACTGACGTCCCGATGTCATTGTTAAACCCGGAGTACCTTCAGCTTTTTTAATTATTGTTTATGGTCTGATCTATGCAAAATGAACTGACTATGTCTTGAGGTCTTGCAGTGGTATGCTTGGGTTTAGTTTTAATTTTATTGATTATAGGATCCCAAGCAGATGGTAGTACCCAGCCTCCTTCTCTATTGAAATTAGGATGTTTTTTTAATTTCAATAGCCTCACGTATCATCCTTGGTAGGAATCGGTGTTCTTTCGCGAGGATTTGTGGTCTATCAAATCTGATGTAATGGTTGGGGCCGTCTAGGATATGATCACAAACTCCGTAAAAGTAGTTTTAATCATTAACGGATTTTTTCATAGAATACTATAATACGCAATAGAATGGCTGTCAAACTTATTTTGTACGAGATTCGGCGTCGCCGGCAGCACACATACAAGCAATTACGTCGTATTATCACTACTACAAACCCGATTCGCTGTAATGACAGACTGAGTAAATTTACACATTTTAGACTTTTGATTAATGTTCAAAGTAATCATTAAAAAATCGTTGAAATTTTAATACATATGTAACATATGTAAATAGTGTGCAATTTGGTATATTCTAAATAGTTTGCATGCGAAATTTGAAAATGATTGTAACGTCAAAACACATCTCGTGTTGACAGTTATGCATGTGAATTGACATGTTAGTGACTTTTAGTAGCTACACGGGCTCCGCCCACTCCCCCGTTCTATTACGTATTATAGTATTCTATGTATTCTTTTTTGCTATTTTTGTTTTTAACAATACACCACGGTTGGACTGTTTGAAGTCCTGATTCATATACAACCTGAGATATCTTGTTTTTAATGATTAATTTTGGTTCAAGCTACACAGAACATGCTTACTCCCTTGAAATCTTGCAATGTTTGAACATGCTTGAGTTTGGATTTCAATTTTTTACACCCTGTGATTAATGAAAATTTTTTCATTAATCACAGGGCCTCCAAGCAGGTGGCCGTATCCAGCCACCTTCTCTATATAAAATTAGAATGATTTTTAATATCAATAGCCTCACAAATCAACGTTGGTAGGAATTTTATATGTGGTTTTAGAATATTGTTCTGGAGATTTTGAGAAACCGCTACCTGACCGCTGTTGAAATACGCCAGTGGCTCCAAATCGCAAGAGGCTTTAATGTTTGTGAGCGTACGGTGAGAAGACGAATGGAGGAAGTGAATTTAAAAGCTCGTGGAACAGCACGAGGTCCAGGACTTCTCAGGCAGCACCGAGTAGCCCGACTTCAGTTCGCAAGAGAACGTGTCAATTCGACCCACGATTTTTATTGCGCAAGTGCTCATTAGTAACACGTGTGTCGCAACATTGCTAGTAATGAGCACACCACATAGACACACACACACACACACACACACACACACACACACACACACACACACACACACACACACACACACACTCACACACACTCACTCACACACACTCACACTCACACACTCACACTCACACACACTCACACTCACTCTCACACACACACACACACACACACACACACACTCACACACTCACACATACTCACACACACACACACACACACACACACACTCACACACACTCACACACACACACATACTCACACACACACACACTCACACACACACACTCACACACACACACTCACACACACTCACACACACTCTCACACACACACACTCACTCACACACTCACACACACACACACACACACTCACACACACTCACACACACACACACTCACACACAATCACACACACACACATCGAGAAAGTTCTTCAGGAGCACATAATGCTTTATTCGGGGTTCATTGGTCACAACCAATTCCTCCTCATGCACGATAATGCACGCCCACACGTCGCACATTGTGTAGAGGAATATCTGGAAGAGGTTGTCCAGCTCCAAACCGCCACAAACTCTAAATGAGATCCGAAATCATTCAAAGCATGCCAGATCGAATGCAGGCGGTTATCTGGGCTGGAGGATGAAACACCCGATATTAAAACTGATAGACAATAAAGAAACAGACCTTAATTGTTAACTTTGTAGTGTTTTTAAAGTGACAGGAAAGTAAAGTGAAAAGAAAAATTTTGGTGAAGTAAACATTAAATTTTTACGTTCTAAAACCATTAGAGACACTTATTGAATCCATCTACCCTTAATTTACTGTAAAAAAATGTTCCAGTGCAAATAATCAGCAAATTCACAAGTGGCCAAGTTTCCGTGCCGGTGAGTGTACAACAGCAAAATATATATATCTTAATATACGTGTCACGTTGTTTGTCCGCAATGGACTCCTGTTGGATGGATGGACTCCGGTTGCTGTTGGTCTAACTTGAGAGATAGGATAGTTTTTTTGCGAATTTAAGAATTTTTAATAGGACATGACAAAGGGTCGTCGAAAAGGGCAGAACAATGTCTGTCTGGCAAGCTAGTATATATATATATATATATATATATATATATATATATATATATATATATATATATACACACAATATGTAATGTAATTAACGCACAAACTCAGACACCCCAATTAGTATATTAATTATGTTATAATCATAATACATACACTGAATTTTTAGTTAAACATTTTTATGCACTGATTATTTATCAAATTAATTTAGGGGTCTAATAACAAAGGCGGCAAAGTCCCATATAATGATATGGGACTTTGTCGCCTTTGTATTTGTTTGTGACCCCTGAATTATACTAATTCCGGATGAATGTTGTGGTCACAGAGTACAAATCCACGAACGCAAAGACTTTCACGTGCTTGAAATAAAGTTCATTTTTCTTTATTTTTATTGAATGACAGAATTAATAATAATACAAATAAAACTGCACTCTTAAAAGTCTTATTACCTTAAGTTACGGTCCATTTCAGTTTTTTTTGACTGTACAGATTTAGTGTGACTGTAATTTACGTAGTTTTAATTATTTTTGGGATAAAAAATTACCTATATTAAAAATGATAGGAATCGATTCAGTAAACGATTCTGAACAAACTACTTTCTCAAAATGCGTTAATTATTTTACGTGTTGTATATGATAGCGATAAGCGCCTTTATATATACAGACAGAAAAACACCTGTACAGAAAATCGTATAACTTATCATGGTTCTGACCCCTGATTTGAACTTGAGACCTCATGATCAGCAGTCGTGCTTACAAACACTAGACCAACGAGGTAGTCAAATTGATATTAAAATAATAACTGCCCGTTTCGTAGTCATTTCAGTGTGTTACAAAACTTTAAAATCTCCCCATCTCACAATCTCTACACTTTATTGTGAAGAATCAGAATGTGTCAAAAAAGGCACGTACGGCAATTCACAATGCTGAGTTAATTCCTACTTTGACGTATGATAGCGAAAGTTGGGTGTGGCAGAAGAAGCACGAGAGTAGAATAAACGCAGTAGAAATACGGTTGTTAAGGAGTATGTTAGGGCTGAATCTGAGTGACAGGGTGAAAAGTGTGATAAAAGAAGAGTGTGGTTTGCAAGATGATGTTGTGACCAGGATTAAGAAAGGAATGCTTCGGAGGTTTGGTCATGTAGAAAGAGTGAATGAGGAAAGAGTTACAAAGCAAAAATATGTTGCAGAAGTAAACAGCAGAGTCAGAAAGGGGCGTCCTAGGCGAAAATTTATCGACCATATTGGCGATATATTGAAAATAGGCCAAATTAAGAGTACCCTAAACCGACGAGCATGTATGCGTAGGTTTTTTTTATAGAAGAGGGGGTAAACGAGCATGCGGCTCACCTGATGTTAAGTGACTACCGCCGCCCATGATCAACCGCAACACCAGGGGAATTACAAGTGCGTTGCCGGCCCTTTAGAAAGGAGTAAGCTCTTTTCTTGAAGGTATTGATGTAAAAGAAGCGAGAGAGCTGTGTCAGGATCGTACCAAATGGAATTCTGCAGTCTCTGCCTACCTCTCTGGGTGACAGGCGTGTTTTTATGATAATATTTTAGATTTTCTTCATACCGTCCCATCTCAATATACTGACCTGAACGTATAAATTACATAAGCATACCTGTGTCAATATCCATAGGTTTAATTAAATCATAATCATTAGTAAATATGTTAGCCTTTTGTCGTTTTCGTTTCTCAAAAACACCCTGAAATTCTTCCTCTTCCATGTTATCGAAAATGTTTGCCACCTGGGTTGAGATAGTGATTTCTTTTCACTTGGTCTGAAATAAAGTAGATTAAGATCAGCCACGCTATACTATAACTGAAAATCAAGCAGTGATGATTCTTTTGTTATTTGAAAGCTGGTGCTTCTCATGTGGTCCCATATAAATTTGATCAAGATCTGACCAGTAGTTTTTGAGTTATCCTTAATAATGCGTATTTAATTGACTTCAAACACATTGATTCATTTTCTTGTAATGTGGCGAATTCGGGACTGATATATGAGTGCCATCAGCGATTGAATGAGGTATGTAAGCACAACAATGTGACTCTGTAATGGATCAAGGAACACAGTGGATCTAGAGGCAACGATGCAGCAGATGAACTTGCCAGAAGGGGATCGGCTCTGGCAACTATACGGCCGGAACATATAATACTAATACCATTTGGCTATGTTCGTTCTCTGGTACGTAGATACTTCAATAATTTACACGCTCAGCTTTGGAAAAATTTTGTAGACTATAGACAAGCTAGGGAGGCCCTGCCTGAAATAAACAGTCGTCTAACCAAGGTTCTAATGAGACTGAACAAGCCACAGATCAGGATAGTAACAAGTGCTATCACAGGACATGGCTCTTTTAAGAAACATTTGTTTACCTGTTTTGCCACTCATCCAGCGACATAAATGTTGTAGATTTGGCCATATTACTTCCCAGTGCCGATCATCCCCTTACTGCTTTGTATGTGCACAGGATCATGAAGGTTTATCTTGTACCCGGCAAACCCCACTTGTCTATTCTGTTCAGGTTTTCACACAGCAAAAAATCCTACTTGCCCTGAACATCTTAGGTAAAAATCTATTAAACTAACTTGTTATGTCACAAGAAAATATTTCATATTTAGAAGCTTCAGCTAGATTCCCTCAGACAAAAGATCCTTTGCTGATACAACAAGAAGCCGTCCTCGTAATTCTTCTCAACAGACCCTTTATATCATAACTGACAGTCTTTCAACCCCTTTGGCTCAGCCTTCACAAGCTTCATCATATAAAAAAAAAACAATTTTTATCCCTCAACATGCATCATTACTCTTCTGTCTTAAATCAAGCGATATCAACAATTCCTTCCTCAAAAATATACATTTAGTCTATACAGAATTCAAAAATGCATTATTATCTTCTGCTAGTAGGTCTATTCCTTTAAAGAAACCTTACAGAAACAATTTGGCCTCGCCTCCTTGTTGGGACCAGGATTGCACATCTGCTTGTAAAAAAAGGAAAGAGGCTGAATAAAAATACTCTTCATCAATGACCATGGAAACCACATCTCTTATAAAAAAATAGCAGCTTAAACATTAAAATTGCTATCTCAGAAGAAAAGATCTGGCTGGTACAGGTTTTGTTCCACCTTATCTCCCTACCATACCTACTTCTCTAGTCTGGAAAATTATTAAAAGATATTGCAGTTCTATGTCAGCTGAACAAAATTTATCTTCCAATGACCCTTCAATTTGCCGTGTAGTGGCGGTTGAGAATATCCACTACCCCATATCATCCCGTGGGTGTCGTAAGAGGCGACAGAGAGAGACAGGCAGGAGATGGGCAGCAGCATCTTCCTAATAATAACAATAACATAATAAAAAACTGCGGTTGCCAACTCGCTCTCCAAGCGTGGCAACTATGGCAAATATCCCCCCATGAGCAATGACGCAAATAAACGGCCCCCAGTCCCCGGCGGCCCCGCTATTCCTGGCTACGGTGGCGACCATGGTAACGGCGGGGCAGGGGGTGCTAAGAATCTCCGGTGGAGGTTCGGTTGCCACCTACGACGACTCGACCTGGCAACGTATAACGCACGCACCCTGAGGACTGACGAGAAGATACTGGAGCTGGAAGAAGAGGTAGACAAGTTGCGCTGGCATATTATTGGATTATCTGAGGTCCGAAGAGAGGGGGAGGACACGGTAATCCTCGAGTCCGGCAACTTGTTCCATCACCGGGAGGGCGACCATCTGTCCAAGGAGGTGTCGGATTTATCGTCCACAAGTCTCTCGTCAACAACTTTGTAAAGATTGGGAGTGTGTCGACGAGGGTCGCGTTCCTGATACTCAGAATCACCAAACGGTATTCGCTGAAGGTCATACAGGTCTACGCAGCAACCTCGGCACATTCCGATGAGGAGATGGAGGAAATGTATGAGGATATTTCTAGAGCTATGCATTCCTCCAAAACCCACTACACAGTGTTGATGGGAGACTTCAACGCAAAACTAGGCACAAGAGAAGGCGGTGAGCTGAAGTTAGGGAAATTTGGAGTAGGGCAACGAAACCGTAGGGGCCAGCAGCTGGCTGACTTTATGGAGAAAGAGGGACTCTTTATGATGAACTCTTTCTTCCAGAAGCGGCCCCACAGGAAGTGGTCCTGGTCGAGCCCCGACGGTTCGACAAAAAATGAGATTGACTTCATTATGACGACCAGACGCCAACTGTTCAGTGATGTCTCAGTGATCGCAAGGGTGAAAACCGGCAGCGATCACCGAATGGTTAGAGGCACACTGAACCTAAACGTTAAGTTGGAGAGGTCTCGTCTAATGAAGTCAACGCTCCGTCCCCCTCGTGCTCTAATCCAGAATCCCGAGACTTTTCAGCTCGAGTTACGTAACCGCTTTCAGTGCCTAGAAGATTGCAATGCAGTGGACGATATGAATGATAAGCTCGTGGAAACTGTCCATGCGGTCGGAGCTAAGTTCTGCAAGACCCGCCGCAGAAGAACACAAAAACTCTCCGATCACACTCTTAATCTCATGGCTGTTAGACGGGAGATGAGGCTGCAATCGTCAACAGATTTGACAGCATACAGGCAATTGAACAGACAGATCTCCAAATGCATGCGGCGAGACTTACGCAACTTTAATACTGCTCGTATTAAAGAAGCGATCGAGCGGAACCAGGGCTCCAAAGTCTTTGCCAGAGATCTGTCTGCCAGAAAGAGCCAACTGTCAAAGCTGAAGACTAAGTGTGGCAGCATCGTTTCCGAGACACCTGAGATTTTGAGTGAGATTGAGAGGTTCTATGGGCAGCTGTACACATTATCGTTGGAGCCACACGCAAGTGTGAGTAACGATCCAAGAGCAAGTCTTACCCGACACTATTCCGGACGTCAGTCTGAGCGAGATTAGAATGGCTCTCCAGCACCTTAAAAACATGGAATTACAGCGGAGCTTCTGAAAGCGGGTGGAACACCGGTACTTGAAGTCCTTCAGAAGCTCCTCAATTCCGTCCTCCATGGTGGCACTACTCCGGAGGCATGGAGCAGAAGTGCGGTGGTCTTGTTCTTTAAGAAAGGCGACAACGCTCTATTGAAGAACTACAGACCGATTTCCCTTCTGAGCCGCGCCTACGTGCTGTTTTCGAGAGTCATTACGAATCGTCTCGCACGCAGACTCGACGACTTCCAGCCTCCCGAACAAGCCAGTTTCCGAAAAGGCTTCAGTACCATAGACCACATACATACCCTGCGGCAGATTGTACAGAAGACCGAAGAGTACAATCTGCCACTTTGCCTGGCGTATGTGGACTATGAGAAAGCCTATGATTCCGTCGAAATTTGGGCGGTGCTACAGTCCCTTCAGCGGTGCCAAGTTGACTGTCGGTATATCGAGGTGCTGAAGTGTTTGTACAGTAGGGCTACGATGGCTATCCGAGTATAGAACCAGAGTTCGAAACCTATCCAACTGCAGAGAGGTGTAAGACAGGGTGACGTTATATCCCCGAAACTCTTCACCGCTGCGTTGGAAGACGTTTTCAAGCTACTGGACTGGAAAGGATACGGTATTAACATCAATGGCGAGTACATCACTCACCTTCGATTTGCCGACGATATAGTCCTTATGGCAGAATCGCTGGAGGACCTTAGCACTATGCTCAATGACCTCAATGGTGTCTCCCAACGGATACGTCTTAAGATGAACATGGACAAAACAAAGATCATGTTTAATGTCCATGTCACACCTATGCCGGTAGTTGTTGGGAGCACTATGCTCGAAGTTGTTGACGAGTACGTTTACCTGGGACAAATAGTCCGACTAGGTAAGTCCAACTTCGACCGAGAGGTCAATCGACGGATTCAACTCGGCTGGGCAGCGTTCGGGAAATTACGACACATCTTCTCGTCAGGTATACCTCAATCTCTGAAAACTAAAGTGTACAACCAGTGCGTGTTGCCAGTGATGACTTACGGATCAGAGACATGGTCCTTCACTGCTGGCCGTATGAGGACGCTCAAGGTCGCTCAGCGTGCTATGGAGAGGGCTATGCTCGGAGTTTCTCTGCGTGATAGACTCAGAAATGAGGATATCCGCAGTAAAACCAGAGTGACCGACATAGCCCAACGGATTACGAATCCGCTGAAGTGGCAATGGGCCGGCCATATAGCTCGAAGAACCGATAACCGATGGGGAAGAAAGGTTCTCGAGTGGCAGCCTCGTACCGGTAGGCGTAGTGTAGGGCAGTAGGGCAACCCCCCACTAGATGGAGTGACGACCTGGTAAGACATGCAGGAAGTCGATGGATGCAGGTGGCTCAGGACTTTGCTTTGTGGCATTACTTGGGGAAGGCCTATGTTCAGCAGTAGACTTGTGAAGGGCTGTAATAATAATGATGATGATGATGACCCTTCAATTTGGCTTGAAGAATTTGCTCTTAATATTGCTCCTCCTTCAGCTCCTGCATATGCTGAAAGTTTGGTTTTTAATTCCCCTTCTATGCAATCTCCAGATAAATTTGATGTTCCCTTTTGTTATGAGGAATTATTAACAGTTCTTCAGGGTCTTAAAGACCCCACCCCAGGAGTAGATAGGATTCCTTACTCATTTGTTATTAAAAGTAGTGGAAAAACTAAAACTGTATTTCTTTATTCTAAACCACATTTTTGACTCAGGAATTCCTCCCAAAGACTGAAAGACCCACATAATACTTCCTATTCTTAAACCGTTCAAGTTACAGACCC